CGTTGATAACAGTAATTTCCTTGCCTTTGTAGTTTCAAAATTGGGGTGTGCTACGCAAAATATTCCTTTTTCAACACCTCTTGCTAACATTTGCAGATTTATTTGTGCTAAGTATTTTTTCCCTATTTCGTTATTGTTATTAACATATTGTAAAAAGGCTTTAACACCACTGGATTCAACTTGGTTATAATCAGTATTCATCGCGAGAAAGTCAAATACCGTATGATCGAATAAAAACGGCGTCAACGAAGGCTATGAAATGAAGATAGCTGACATTTTATATGTAAAATTATATGGGAAATGTCATCGATCGTCATTTCCAAGCCAACTGGACGCCGTTTTTTTTCGATCATACGGTACCATATTGACATCTACTTGCGGTAAATTATGTGAATCTCCTTTCTGGAAACCCTCCTCCATATTTAGCAACAAATACAACTTCTTTGACGGTATTCAACAACAAAAATAATAATGTAACTGCTATAAATGTCGACTGTACTTCAATACCTTGTATTGAAGTACATTGAGTGTCACCTTGTATTGATGTCTTGTATTGTGTCACAATGTACTTCATACCTTGTATTGAAGTACATTGAGTGTCACAGTCAAACTGAATCACGGTCTTGCCGTCGCAAGTGGAACAGCGTGCGGCAGGCATGTGACGTCAGGCCAATGAGAGCGCGTTTATTTAATTTGAACGGAGCGCATAACTTCAAGAGTCTCTCTTCAAGAGTTCATTTTTTTTGAAAAAAAAGTTATTTAATTGGTATTATAATACTAAAACATTAATTTTTTACCGCTTTTAGGGCAAATTTTTTTTTTAGTGAACAGACCTATTTGTAAAAATCTAATTGCTTAGCTACAGTACTTCGTGTCGTATGTGGTGAACGACCCTGTATAATCTGGAATGGGAATCCCCAACGGTCTAAGACTAGAGGCCGACGTTCTGTATAGAGTATGGCACTGTAAGAAGAAGAAGAAGATGTTATAGTTCTTGTGGACTTAACAATTTTTGTTTTGTTTTGTCATTTGACAAGACCATTTTTCCATTCAACCAAACCAGTAGTTCATGAGTGTTGACAAATCTTAAATTTGAGGAAATCTTTTTTTTTTGAAAAATATGAGATTAAAAGATTGCAACAGAATATAGTACTTACAACTAAAAAATGTATATTTCCCATTTTTGGAAATATATGTCATAAACCATTTAGCGCCTTCGCAAATACTTTACTTTTTCCATATGTAAAACAAAATGTCGCATATATTAATTTTTCGGCTAAGATTAATATCTCAAAGGAATAAACAATCAAGTAGGCGTGAACGAGATTGCGCAAACGATTAAATCTGTTTTTTGCTAAGCAGTCGTGACTAATATTTCATCAGATCCTGTAAAGAGGTGTTATTTATTGTTAAATGGTATTGTTACAGATTGTTTATTGCTATTTTTGATCGACTGTCACGGTGAACAATAGGATGTATTTTTTTATAATCAAACAGGAGTGTTTGAGAATTTTTTCTATTCTTTATAAAGTGTCATGAACTGGTGTTGTGTTATGGGAATACTATAACTAGGACATTTGTGAATATTAATATTATTTATTTACAATCACAGGAATAGAGGATACTCAGGGTGGTCGAAATTGTTCTGTTTTAACAGAGAAAACCTATTTCCTGACTAAATAAGAGCAATACCAACATAGATGTCATGTGCTCGATTTCTAAGACATGTTTAATGGCATAAACCGCCTCACAGTGGGGTATTTGACACTGATAGTTGATCGAAATTTTTTTATGTAGACCTTATATAAATTATTGCTATTTTCAATTAAAGAGGAAATAATATGAACAAAATAAAGGATAATTCGTCGATTCTAAAAAAAGAAAGAAAAATCACTGTTCCAGTGTTTTCACGGTCAGTGCCAGTAGTAATATCGCAACTACTACTACTAATGCTACGACTGATCCGCGAGCAATGCCCATACCACTAAAGTCGCTACTAATGCCAAATTGTGCTATACTGCTAATGGCACTAATGCGATCGCTTTGTACACAACAATGCCATCGCGGTTTACACCTCGCATTAGTATATCACTGATTGGAAATTAGAGGAAACCAAGAATGTTTTTCTCATTTTATCAGCAAAATCGCAAAAAGTCGCAGTATTTTATTTTACTGTATGAAAGCCCAATGTCTACTAAGTAAAACGTATATAGACAATATGCTGAATTCTTCGAAATGCGCAACTGAAATCTCTAAGTATAATAAAAATGTCACAAATTTAATCAAATTTTCTGAACGCCTAACTTTTAGTTGCAAAAAAAATCGTTAGTATAGAGAATATCAAAATAAATAATACGTTTTTGTAGAATACATACCTGCAGCTTGCTGAGCCATTTTCAATCAAAACGATAATATAAACGTAAAAAGAGCACAAGAATAACAACAATTTATAATTTTAAACATAAAATTTAGCCATTTACCTCTTATCTGTGAGAAGTAACAACTTTAACGTTTCGTTGAAACAAATGAATGCAACTAAACACACCCATAGCAACGCCATTCATGGCAGAGATGATTTAACTTATCATTTATCTTTTTTTGGGAAATCTTAAACACATTTGCTTTTTCGAATTTCGATCACCTTTTTCATGCTAATACCCCACCGTGCGCCTGTCGATATTTTCACCGCCAACTGAGATACGGGGTCTTTTGGAATTTTCGATCATTTTGAAAATTGCCCATATCTTTTTTATTTCGCGGAATAATAAAATTCTGTAAAAATGTCCTTAAGGCACTTGTTTAAGCACAATCCAGTGGCGTAGGCAGTTTTTTTTATACTTGCTCTTATTGTCAGAAATAAAAATATTGTTTTAATGGAAATCATGGTTTGCTATGAACTTAAAAAAATGCTGGCGTTTTCCAAACGATATAAAGTTATGGGTATCTACCGTATGATCGAAAAAAAAATGGCGTCCAGTTGGCTTGGAAATTAACAGTTGCGTTTGTTTGCATTTGAGTGCTGAGTGTAGGTATATGGTTTTAAAAACCCGAATTGAAATATAAAATAGCAGGGTTTGTGTTGCTATTGACTATTGATGTCTCTCAAATCATTCAACATGAAAAGTCTGTCAAACGAGCTAGGAAAGAGTTCGACTACGACATTAGGTCTGTTCACCAAGATAAACAGATGTTATAGATATTCTTAATGAATAGACTTTATATTGTCTGTAATAGTAAGTCTGTAATTGTCGAAAGTAGATTATTTTTTCTTAATTTTTTTTGGATTGCCTATGTCGAAATCAGATGTAAATAATATATGATTTCAGAATTAATTATAGTTACAGAGAATTTTTTTTTTGTTAAAAAATAAACATACTATACCTTCTTTTACAAATTAATTTTTTCAACAATATAATTAAATCTAATTATTACTTTTCAAACGAAGTTAAGTATTTTGGAGAGAAATTATTTATTCTTGTGTATTTGGGATTTAACTTTTAACAAGGAATTTAAATAACTGACAGTCAGCTCTCATTGCAGCGCTCTCTAGTGTTTGAATGACATTATATAGGGTGAGTCTTAAATAAGTGCAAATATTTTTAGGGGTGGTACATTTTGATTTTTTCGCAAAAAATATATTAAAAAACGTGCATTTTTTTAAAAATTTCTTGTATATTATAGAAAACTTTTTGGAGCTTTCCCAAACAACAGCAAATTTTCCCACAGTATGTGTTATTAAATGGGACACAATACTTGAAATAATTTCAAGTATTCTTGAAATTATTTATTCTCGTGTATTGTAAGTTTAACTTTTAACAAATAATTTAAATAACTAAAAATCGGCTGTCATTGCAGCGTTCTCTAGTGTTTGAATGACATTATACAGGTTTAGTCTTAAATAAGTGCAAATATTTTTACGGTTGGTACATTTCGATCCCAGGAACACGTATGAGTTTTTTTTTGCAAAAAAAAGATGTTGAAAAACGTGCACTTTCTTTTAACTTTTCCTGTATATTTTAGAAAACTTTTTGGAACTGCCTGTTCACCGCAAATTTCCCCACTGTATAATTTCTTAACCTCTAATAAAAGGATGCGAATACAGGAAATATCCGGTGACTTTCAACATTTTTTAAAAATAAACCATTTTGTTTTAATTTTCTAACTTAACTAACTAATTATTACTTTCTAATAACTCGGTTATTTTGAACTTAAAGAGAAAATCTGTTTCTTTTATCGAAATCTACCAGCACTGAAAATATTTGCACTGATTTAAGACTCACCCTGTATAATTTTTTAAAAATCAAGGATTGTATATTTTTATCTATATGTCTTTAAAAAACTGAATTGAAATATAAAACAGTAGGGTTTGTGATGCTATTGACTGTTGATGTCTCTGAAATTATTAAGCTAGGAAAGTCTTTCATACGAGCGAAGATTTCGATAGACAACATTCAGTTCGTTCACCAAGATAAACAGATGTTATAGATATTCTCAATGAATAGGCTTTATACAGGATGAGTCTTAAATAAGTGCAAATATTTTCAGGAGTGGTATATTTCGACCCCAGGAACACGTCTATGAGATTTATTTCGCATATAGTGCATTTTCTTTTAAATTTCCCTGTATATTTTTCAAAAACTTTTTAGAACTGCCTGTTCACCGCAAATTTTCCCACGGTATAATTTCTTAATCTCTGATATTACCATAGTTACAGCTTTACTCTATGGTTACGGCACTAAAAGGAATGCAAATACAGAAAATATCCGGTGGCTCTCAAAATTTTCTTTTTAAAAATAAATATATATATATATTTTTTTTAATTTTCTAACTTGAATATTTCGGTTATTCTAACCTAACTTACTTGGAAAAATGGTAAGGAGAAAATTCTTCTGCCGAGATCTACCAGCCGTGAAATATTTCCACTTATTTAAGACTCATCGTGTATATTTACAAAAAAAATGTTTATATTTCCGTTTTATAATATTTGTTTTTCTTTGCAGGAAAAATGAGCTCCATATATGGACATTTCTATTAGTGCTACTTAAAATAAATCTAGTGTTTTCCATCGTACAATACCAACCATTAGAATTAGGACTCGACAATGGAGAATGTGCTCTGTTGCTAAGCGGCCCAGCTCGAAGCGCTCAGTTTGATTATACCTTCAATCTGCTGCGTGGTACTAATTTGTAAGTACTATCACTCATAATATTACGATTAATGGGAGAAATCATCCAATCTCTTAATTTAGTTTCACGAATTTTGGTTTCATTACAACTTCTGTAGATACTTTAAATTACTCTATACAGGTTGTTTCAAATTGAAGGGCTACACTGGAATTTAAGAACCATAAGTGAAAAGGAAAATTTTATACAAACTGTATATTTTTTAGAATATTTTAATCTGTTTTTGAATAGAAATAAGTAGTTTACAACAAGTAAAGTTTATTTTTTTATTTAATTTACTAAATTATGTTACTTAAAGGGATTACAATGGACCAAATACTTGCATTACCTATGACGCAATCAATGCTGCCTATCTTGATGCTAGAAAAAGAATACGTAAGTATTTCACAATCTGTATCTTTTTTTTTAATCAAACTGTTTTAGAATCTTTTTTGTTATTTGTTTCTAAAATGTAGCATTATTATTCACTAAGTTATTTGCTTTATTAACCTCTAAATTAATTTTGTATAGCATGTTTATATAATACGTTTTCATTCAAATATGTTGGTAATAATTATTAATTAAATACCATACGATAAAAAAACGGCGTCAGTGTTGGCTTGGAAATGATTTTATTGCTGTCATTTATGAAATTACACAGGGTGGGTCTTAAATAAGTGCAAATATTTTCAGGGCTGGTAGATCTCGATAAAACATACATATATTTTCTCTATACCGATATTCAAATAAGTCCAAAATAACCGATTTATTTTACTTTGAAAATTTCCAAAAAAAAAGATTATATGTATAATATAATATACTACCCCTAAGAATATTTGCATTTATTTAAGTCTCGCCCTGTACAGTGATTGTCATCGATTGACATTTCCAAGCTAACATCACGACTTTTTTTTTGCGATCACACAATACCGTGCTTTTATGGTTGGTAACTGGCTTTATGAATGACACATAATTTTTACACCAACATTTTTAAATAACTTTTTCAAGTAATTTAGAAAATTGGACAGTTTTATTTATAAACGAATTTTACACTTTTGATGCTCTCCCTTATATCAAAGTACATACTTTTGCAATATCATATGATCGAAAAAAAGGGCGATAATTATAATGATAAATAACAATTGATGATAATTTTGGCGAGGTCAATCTCTAGACGTCATTTACTAAAAATTGCCAAAAAACTTGTCAAAAATGAATATTTAATATATAAATATTAGAAAAGGATAGAAGATAGAACATTTCCAGACACACAAATATATTTCCAATTTCATTTTTTTCTCAAAAAAATAATTATTACTCAATGTAAAAATAAAATACAACCTTCTTAAGGCCAACTCAGAGTAAGCGCTATTAAGAAATAAAGAAAAGTACGGGTCAAGTAAATGACATCTAGGGCTTGACCTCGCCAAAATTGTTATCGATTGTCATTCCCCAACTGTATGGAACAAGCACATAAATAATTGAGCGTCCGGATTGCACAACAACCTTAGCGCTTGGCCGCGGGCAGCCCAGTAGGCAAGCGAGACAGCGGCGCGCCGATTTAACAAGTAAATAATTTTAAACCTGCCGTCATTTCGTTAATAATTATCGTAGCGTGTTAATTTTTGCATAGAAATACTCATGAGTTTTTAGCGCTTCCGACAAGCCTAAATAACTGGATTATTTTTTATATTTTCGATTTGTTTACATTGCCCGAGCACATTATAACTTTGAGATAAAAATCTCTGTTATAAATTTTAAAACTGACAGATATGAATACTATCATTTAATTAGTTATACATTTAGTTACAACATATTCAAAATTTAGGTCTATCGGTTTATGCTAACAGTAATAACGAGTATAAATAAAAAATTGGTCAGTACAACACTCGCCGTTTATAGCGCAAGTTCAGCTTTGGTTTTAGTTTCAGAGCTATTTTTACAGAAAATAAATTCTGAACGTTGTTCAAATTGTTGTCACATAGCTTTAGTATACAAATGAATGAATGATTTTATTCGAATAAAACCATTCGATAGTTGAAATCATTCATTCATTAATCATTCGATAGTCTAATTCATTCGATAGTTCCCATCGCTAGTCCAAATGGCAAGAACATTATCATTGTCGATATCTCCTGGTTATAATGTAGTTCTTTTTTCAAAATATTGCATTGTTTTAGCTTAAAAAAAACTTGAATTATGCGGCTTTTTTTGCGAGAGCTACCGGAGCTGCGTTAATAAAGAGATGGCTATGTACGTCAATCATAGCCACAATAGACTGTAATTTTACCTCGTCACGAGATTTTTTGGAAATATTGCACTTCCATTTATCCGGATTTCTACTAACTTTTGACCTTTCTTTTCGGTCGCATTTCCCTCTATTTAATAATAAATAATTTAAAAAAACGCACAAATACTACTGGTAGTAAACAAGTTGTAGCAAAAATTTTCTATACTCCGTGTAAACAAAAGACTATCGCAAATACTGTCTTTCGATTGACGTACAGTACGTCTGTCCGTTCTGTGGCTACGGGGTATCCGTGAGAGAGGAAACGATATTCTCTCGATGTTTTTCGTAAAAAATTAGACGACGCGTCCCATCAATAAAAAATCGACAAATTTGCAAGTAGCCAATAAAATGAGTGGGCGGAGCGATTTGCGGTGACGTACTCGTCAAGTCGACGTATAAAATATATTGCTGTTTATTTAAATGTTTTTTGTCCGCATTCCTTTCATAGACACAGATCCAGCAGACGAACTGTACATAGCCATATCTTTATTAACGCAGCGCCGCGCCGGTAGCTCTCGTAAAAAAGCCGCATAATTCAAGTTTTTTTTAAGCTAAAACAACACAATATTTTGAAAAAAGAACTACATTATAACCAGGAGATATCGGCAATGATAATGTTCTTGTCATTTGATCTATCTATCTATCTATCTGTCAGTTTTAAAATTTATAACAGAGATTTTTATCTCAAAGTTATAATATGCTCGGGCAATGTAAACAAATCGAAAATATAAAAAATAATCCAGTTATTTAGGCTTGTCGGAAGCGCTAAAAACTCATGAGTATTTCTATGCAAAAATCAACACGCTACGATAATTATTAACGAAATGACGGCAGGTTTAAAATTATTTATTTTGTTAAATCGGCGCGTCGCTGTCTCGCTTGCCTACTGGGCTGCCCGCGGCCACGCGCTAAGGTCGTTGTGCAATCCGGACGCTGAATTATATTAGTTGATTAGTAACTTGCTAATTTTTTTAATACCGAAGAAAAATTATGAAATACACAAAAACAACTTCTCTTCATATATTATGCTGGTATCACAATTTTTTTAATTCTTTATTTAAGTGACATTTGAAATCGGTGTTAGTTTTTGCTGTGAAATGGATTAAAACGACTAAAATTGTTTAACCTATTGCTCCGGTTGTATGCCAAAACGCTGATTGGCAACAAAGAGGTTTATTGGCGAAACTTTAAAAAACTTTATTTGAAAAAAGTTGCTCCTTTTTTAATTTTATACCTTTTTATAAAAGTAGTTTTACTTAAACTATGGAGTAGTTATTGATATTCACTTAAGTCAGAAAATTGTCAATTAGATTCAAAATAAATTTAAATAAATATATTACCACTAGATAAATATTTTAAATACAAACGAATTTTGCTTATACCTTCAGAAACGGCTGTTACATTTGTTAAAAAAACTGGAAAAAAAACTAGATGGCTGAAATTTGGTATACCGGGTGCGCCTCAAAAGTGGCTCACCTCTATAACTTTTTTTTTATTTTTTAAGATAAAAAAACGAGATTTGGTATTTTAGTATACGATATAAATTAGGATTTATTAACGCATTCAATTGTTTTTGGTCACTTCCTGTTTCACCGGAAATGACTACAACTTTTGATTTTTAAATGGCACCCTCGGTATATTTCTACTTTATTGGATAGAAAATGACACTCTGAATAGAATGACATATCATATGTTAATTTTTAACATTCTCGCATATGGTTTATATGAGATTGTAACATGCGGTTTATAACGAAAATTTGACCCGAAATACCAAGTGAGTGGTACCAAATTATTCGTAAAAAAATGCTTTTTTCAAATATGCCAATAAGCCACCCTCGTTGCATTTGAAAAAATTGAGATACCATTAAAAAATACGACTTGGGCATATTTTAACCGACCAGAACAAGACACTAAAAACATTAGACGATCCAATCTATTTTTCCAAAACTCCATAATTAAAAATTAGTGTTTTTAACACAGCCATGGCACTCTAGATTGAAATTTAAAATTCAATTTTGTTTTAAGCAAAAATGTCAAAAGTTGACAAATGATATATCATTCTATTCAGAATGTCATTTTCTATCAAATAAAGTAGAAATATACCGAGGGTGCCATTTAAAAACCAAAAGTTGTAGTCATTTCCGGTGAAACAGGAAGTGACTGAAAACAATTGAATACGTCAATCAAGTCTAATTTATGTCATATACTAACATACCAAATTTCGTTTTTTTATCTGAAAAAATAAAAAAGTTATAGGTGTGAGCCACTGTTGAGACTCACCCAGTATATTTATTATATTTCGTATCCTTGTCCAAATAAATATACACCCGTAGTAGGGTGAGCCACTTTCGAGACGCACCCGGTATACCTACTTATAACAGCATTGTTCAATTCGAAGCCCATCTCTAACGTCGTTTTTTTTTTGATAGTGTGGCCTTTACTGGGTCGAAGAGAACGATGTTTCTACACAAAATATCGACAAGTTTTATCAAACTGTTCTGTATTTTATCAATATTTGCATTGTTTACCAGCCTGGTTTACCATTTACAGCAGAATAATAAATCGGTTTTAATAAAAAAATCCTTATGTTGCAGACTTCATTTGTGACACTGTATGTTCGAGTATAGTGTATCATACAATCGAAAAAAAAACGGCGTCACGAGGTCAAGTCCTAGACTTTACTTGGCCCGTACCCTTTTTTATATTTTTTAGTGGCGCTTACTGTCAGTTGGGCTTAAAACGGTTGAAATTTATTTTTATATTGATTAAAAATGGTTTTCTAATGGTGTAGTTTAAAATTCATGTAAAAATATTTTTTTGGAAATAGATTTGTGTATATGGAAACATTTCTATCCATTTTTAATCTTTCTATAATTAGTATTAATTTTTGAGTTTAAATTTCATGTCAATCTTTAGTAAGTGATGTCTAGAGGTTGACCTGACTAAAATCATTATGAATTGTCATTCCCCAGCCGTCTTTGACTCCATTTTTTTTTTCGATTATAAAGTATATAAAGTAAATAATTAACTATAATTATTGATGTAGGTGTAGCACAGCCACACGGTGACTGGAAACCTGAGGATGTCGCAACAGTGGGCGAAGTACTTTTTGATGTTTCCGTAAATTTGGCAAAAACGTAAGTCAAACAACTTTTTTTAAACACCACATACCTTACAAATATTATTCTAGTTCTAATCTGGTAAATTGACCGATAAATCTAATTCCTTCTATCAATTAGCTGAACCATATATTGGAATAACATTCGACCATATAAATAAATGTGCTCCAATTTATTTTCTAGTTACGGCTTAAGCTACGAGGACATCGAAAAAGGATTGCCCCTGATCGATACGAGCAAAACGCTGATTCGAGAGATATGTCCTCCGTTTATGTCAAACGTGGAATGTCGTGCGGGAAAGTATAGAAGATTTGATGGACTGTGCACGAATTTGGAGCATCCAACATGGGGTGCTACCAACACACCATTTACTAGGTCAGTATACAATTAATTTTTTAAAGATGTCTATTTAAGAAAATTGGTGTACAGGGTGGTCCAATAAAGAGGACGTCGACTATAAACTGGGAAGCGTTAATTGAGAGATTAATAAAAATACCGGGTGCGTCATAAAAATGGCACACCCCAATAAGTTTTTTATTTATTTAGATAAAAAAATAGATATGACATAAATTAGGATAATTGACGTATTTAATTGTTTTCGATCGCTTCCTGTTTCACCGGAAATGACTACAAATTTTTATTTTTAAATGGCACCCTCGTTATTTTTTACTTTATTCGATAGAAAATTACATATCACATGTCAACTTTTGACATTTCGCATATAGTTTATTTGAAATTGTAACACGCAGTTCTTAACGACATTTTGACTCGAAATACCAAGTGTGTGGTACCAAATTATTCGCAAAAAATACTTTTTTTAAATATGCTAATGAGCCACCCTCGTTCCATTTGAAAAACTTGAGATATTATTAAAAATACGATTTGGGCATCTTTTAACCAGCCAGGACAAGACACGAAAAACTTTAGACGATCAAATCTATTTTTCCAACGCTCCTTGATTAAAAATTAGTGTTTTTAACACAGCCACGGCATTCTACATTGACAATGAAAAGACGATTTTTAAGCGAGAATGTCAAAAGTTGACATATGATATGTCATTCTATTCAAAATGGAATTTTCTAAAGTTTAAAGAAGGAGTCCATTCAAATTTTTCCGTCTCGGTCTCAACGTTTGCAATAATCTAAACAGTGAGACGTGTTTTGTTTTGGTTTGGTTGGAAATCAGAAAAAATGCAATTAAAGGCAATCCACAAACACGTTCACAGTTTACACATTAAAACAACATAATGTGTGTTGTTTTAATGTGTAAAATATTATTTTAATGTGTCATCCACACACGCGTTCATGTAATATAAACGTTGAGACCGAGACTTTCAGTCTTTTTTCTTCTTCTTTTTAGTGTAATTTTCTATCAAATAAAGTATAAAAATTCCGAGGGTACCTTTTAAAAATTCAAAGTTATAGTAATTTCCGTTGAAACAGAAAGTGACTGAAAACAATTGAATACGTCAATCAATTCTTTGATGAATTTTATGTCATATACTAACATACCAAATTTCATTTTTTTATCTGAAAAAATAAAAAAAAAATTATAGGGGTAAGCCACTGTTGAGACTCACTCAGTATATTTATTGGTAAACCGACCAAGGGAAATCGCTGTAAATTATTTTAAAGTTATCCTAGTGGCCAATTTTTCATTAACTTTTCCTATTAGAGGTTTGTTAAAAATATAAGCATTCTTTTCTTCTTCAAATTGTGCAGTTTTGCTCTAGACCATTTTTATCTCTAATCAAAAATTAATTGATGGGAGAAGATTAAATATTTTTACAATCAAAATGTTGATATCTCCGTTTTCGATAAATCAAATTTTATCAACTTTTTCGAAGTTAGAAAAAAAGATTGTTAGAAAAAGAGATCAAATGGTATGCTACGACTTTTATATTGTAAAATATTTTGTAGCTATGAAGAGCAGTGAACCAGAGAGTGAACATTGAGATGAAAATCCAGATCTCTAAATTAACAAAGTTGATGATGGTTTGTCGAATCCGAAACGTTAGATTGGACAATTAGCCTTGACATTTTGTAGAGGAGAAAAAGTGACAATGTGCGCGTTCAGGGAACACAGCTGCTGTGTCTAAGTGGAAATAATTTTCATTATCATTTCGATTATTCCTAAAATTTTAGAAAAACCTGAACACCTTCAGTTAACAGTAGCTTTCTTATCGATACACAATTTTTAATTATAGTCTAATAGCAGCAACGATTACAAATATAATATTTAGGAAACCTAATGTGGATTCACTAGATCTAGTTATCCAAGTACAGAAAAAACTGCATCTATGCTTATTTTTCTATTTTTAGACTTATGGGTCCACTTTTTGCTGATGGAATGTCCGACCCTCGCATCAGTATAACCGGTGGTCCCCTGCCAGGCTCTCGTATCGTATCACGTACAATGCACGCCGATCTAGGATATCACGACCATGCAGGTACAGTCATGATCATCGCCTGGGGTCAATTCATGGATCACGACTATACTCTTACCGGTTCACCATTGGGTAAGTTACTAATATTAAATGGGCTATCCTCGACAGAGGTGATGAGCAGTAGTGAACCGCAGTAGTCTACCGGTAGCCAGACGTCCGGACGGCCCGCACTTTGGTCAGGAGAGCATAGCAAAAGATATAGTAAAGAACCAGCTTTCTTAAAATACTCGTTTTCCTGACGGTGCTAGCCATTGTACTATTATACAGGGTTGTGTTTCAAAAAACATGTGCCATCTCTCGTGGGGAGATTCCTAACGTAAAAATAAGATTTATTTTTCATATCAACATAATGAAAGTGTCCTAGCTACAGGGTGTTATTATAATTTTCTTCCAAGTACTTTTAGCGTTTCAAATGAAATTTTGAGGGTAACGGCGCTTTCAGATGGAGCGGGCCGTCCGCAACGGATCGTCCGTCGTATTTTTTCAAGATGGCCGTCGGACGAACTCCGTCGAACAGAGCATACGCGCCCATGTGAAGTTGTTCATATAAACTCATGGGTACTTGTTCGAAGTCGCAGACGGTCCGCTCCATCTGAAAGCGCTGTAAAAGTTACTAAAAATGCGACATATTTTAAGGCTAAAAAAGTGTCGCCATATTCACCAGGGACGTGCATATGGGTTATCACTGGAATGTTTTATTCAAAAAAAGCATGTACGCCACTGATTTTTTTCTTTTGTTAGCGAAATAGTGTAAGCAGTTTAATGCCGATTAAAAGTTGTCTCTTGATATTTTGTCGATTTCGGCCTCCCATGATGAGATAAACGTAATTTTTTTAATTTGCCTTGATCCAAGTCTGATAGCAACCTTAAAAAAATTTTAATATCATTAACTTGCAAAAGTTTTAAATAAATACTCATTGATTCTTCATCAAAAATTATGAAACAAAGTTCCTATAAACATGGGTATGGAAATGCATAGTTTTAGAGATACAGAATGTTAAAACTTTTTAAAATTAGGTTTTTTGTAATAATTATCTTAAATACCATAATTTTTTTATTTGAAATTGCTGTGGGTTGGACTAATAGTAATAATGACTAATAGTAATAATATTTAATAATAAATTAGGTAAAATATATAATTTATTAATTTCATTTTTATTTTAATTTTATTAATTGTGATTAATAAAATTGCGTTTATCTCATCAAGGAGGCCGAATTCGACAAAATATCAAGAGATCGCTTTTAAACGGCCTACTCAATTTTGATATTAAAAGAAAGAAAGTTAGTGGCGCACATGTATTTTTTTGAAAAATATTCCAGTGATAACCCATATGCACGTCCCTGACGACTTTATCGACACTTTTTTAGCATTAAAATATGTAGCACTTATAGTAACTTTTAGCCTCAAAATTTCATTCAAATCACTAAAAGTACTTGGAAGAAAATTATAATAAATCGAAAATTTATTAAGACTTTAATACCCTGTAGCACAGAATATCTAGCTACGCAACAGAAAAATACTCGAAATGAAAGAGCTAAAATTGCACAAATAGAATACTAGATGGCGCGACAATATCATAATCAGAATATAATTAGAAATTTTGAACTTTCGGTTTTGGATCGACGGCTCGTCGACGGCCTTATAGCTCGGCTAAATATGCACAGTTGCCAGATTCAAAAGACTTGAATTGGCATCCCATTCTTTATTGGTATAATGCCAGTATGTGTTTCTTTCTATTCTTCTTTTCTTGCCAGATACACTTATATTAATTATTCCTTTGGCTATTAAAATAGTTTTAACTATATTATTACAAAACATATACATTTTTAACATACACTACCTTATAATGTTAACTAAGAAAATACCTTTAATTACCTTTAAAATTAATAATATACAGGGAGATTGATAGTGATATTTATTAATGCTGGAACGTTAGTAATGAAATATAAGTTTAATAATAATGGAAATAATTTATTAAAATGCAGTACAAAAAATGTTAACTGACTAAAAAATACTATAACAAATTTCTTCCGTTTGCCACGTTATTTATATAGATCTAGGTGGATTTTAAAAAGTGACACAGGTACAATTAATAATATATTAGTTCGGCATAAAAGTTGCTGTCACGACATCGAACAATAAATTAAAATTCCTAAAATAAATTAAAACTATTAATTAAACAAATCTTTATAAAGAAACGCAAGTATACCAAATTTGGGCCCAATCGAACTCCAGGAAATGATATCATAATAGTGTACTATATTATGGTACCACTCGATATGCTTTAAGGTACCATAATATTGCAATGTCACCGAAGATCCGTAGTATACGAAATTTAAGAACAATCGAACGCCATGAAATGGTATCGTAATATGGTACTATATTAAGATACCACTTTATATACATCATAGTTCAATCATATTACAATGTAACAGAAGATACGTAGTATACCAAGTTTAAGCCCAATCGAACGCCATGTACGTAATAGAGTACTATATTATGGTACCAGTTGATATGCTTCATGGTACCATAATAATGCAATGTCATCAAAAATACGCAAGTATATATCAAATATGAGCTCAATCGAACGCCAGGAAATGGTATTGAAATATGGTACTATATTAAGGAACCACCTTATACGCATCATAGTACCATCATATTACAATGTAACCGAAGATACGTAGTATAACAAGTAACCCAATCGAACGCCAGGAAATGGTATCGTAATATGGTACTATATTATGGTACCTCTTATTATGCTCCATGGTACCATAATATTACAATATCACCGAAGATACATAGTATCCCAAATTTAAGCCCAATCGAACGCCATGTACATAATATGGTACTATATTATGGTACCAGATGATATGCATCATAGTACCATCATATTACAATGTTACCGAAAATACGTAGTATACCAAGTTTAAGCCCTATTGCCGCCATGTATCTAATATTGCTATGTCATCAAATATGGTACTATAGAAGGTACCACTTTATATGCTCCATGGTACCATGATATTACAATGTCACTGAAGATATAGTATACCAAGTTTAAGCCCAATCGAACGCCATGTATCGTAATATAGTACTATATTATGGTATCACTTGATATGTTTCTGAAAAAAACGGCGTCCAGTTGGCTGGAAAAGGACGATCGATGACAAATTTACATATAAAATGACAGCGATATTCATTTCATAGCTATCGCTAACGCCGTTTTTTCCCAATTATACGATATGAACTTGGTATGAACACAATCGAACGTCAGGAAGTGGTATCAGTACTTATTATATTGTCGCCGAATTACAATGAAAATTCAGGATTCAATTATACAATCAAACGTCAGGAAGTGATTGTAATTTAGCTCATAAGATTTAATTCCAACTAACATGGCAAACTGAAAAAAACAGCTCTGATCTATTTTAATATCTTTAAATGATGTAGCAAGTTTGAAGGTAGGCTTTATTAGGAAGTATTACGATATGAATTACACAATGGCAACACTGCACAAAATTTTTTTAAATTTTGTTTGTAGAAAACTGTTTTCTTTTAAATTTATTGCCCTCTATTATGTAGTAGCGAAACTACCACATCAAAATATCTGATTTGGAGACAGGCTTTTAAAGCCTGTCTCCTTTTGCTACCTACAATTTTATACATGTAACGAGGCTTCTGCTGCGTAGCTAGATATTCTGTGCCTGTAGCTATGAAACAAAGCAGAATCGGACCTATGTTGATATGAAAAATAAATCTTATTTTTACGTGAGGAATCTCCCCACGAGAGGGCACATGTTTTTTGAAACACCCTGTATTTTTATTAAGGTTAGATTAAATTTATCAAAAAAGTGTCAAAACGTCCGTTATATCCTTTGTTATATCGTACGATCTTTTTTCCGTTGACGGGCTGGAGTAAAAAAAAATTACGGATGAAAAGTGGCGCGAAAACGCTATGACCAATCAGAGCGCTGTCGGACCATCGGCATCGTATCAACGGATAACGGACGCTCAGATTTTTTAAAATATTAGAAATTATATCTTTAAAGGATGGATATAACATTACATTTATTTCTGAAATGCAATCGTTATTTTATAGACCCGTTTAACAGAAATGACCCAGAAGAATGTTGCGGGAAACCTCCCCATCTCAAACATCCCTACTGCAACGAGATTCATATTCCCGAAGACGACTATTTCTACAGTTTGTTCAACGTAAAGTGTATTAACTTTATCAGATCGTTCCCTGGTGTACGACCTGGATGCAGACTAGGCTCGAAAATACCTTATAACACTTTGACAGGTGTCCTGGATGGCAACACCGTGTATGGAGTAACTGAACACTTTTCCAGGTGAGACACAAAATGAGTTTGTAAAGCTTTTTAGCCATTTGACGTCGTTTTTTTTTTCGATCGTGTGGTATTCATTTTTAATGAATATTTTCCTCGGTATTTTCAGAAAACTTCGTGAAGGTCACAGTGGTTTATTGAGGATGAACCCAGCTTTTCACGAATACGGACTGAAAGATTTGCTCCCATTAAAATTAGACATTCCTGATGAAGGGTGTACCAGACCAAATGCTAGCATGTACTGTTTTGAAGCAGGTAATTTTAGTATTATAGGAAAAGACTGGAAAACACCGGCAATAATTCACCCCCAAAACAAAAAACTTAAGAAAATAAAAATATATTTTTAATATTTCGCTGGGGTTAAGAATCCATTGACACAACCTCCTTAGTAGACCTTTATTTGTAAACAAATTTGTTTAACTAACCATATATTTCGGTGTAGCTTTTATAGTTCCTTATCCCGCTAGAGGCGCAGCGATCGCACTCAAAATGCCGCTACTTTAGGGCTCAAAGGAAATGACGACCAGGTCGCTGCTATCTATTGGAGTAAATAAAACTTGAATTAAACTCACAAGATAGCAATAATTACTTTGAAAATGGACGTTATAAACACTTTTCGGAATTTCTTTAATGAGAGCGGTTTAGATTTTGAAAGATTATTATGATTTTTGAAGATTCTGACCACAAAACATCCCCCTTTAGAACTTTTTCTTTAATGGCCATAAGCGGGAGTAAAAGCCCAACCGCCCGAACAAACACTAGAGGCGCCACCGGTCATCAAATGGTGTAAAAATTGCGAAAATTTAATCTTCTAATTTTGACACAAGGGGTCGGGCTTAACTTTTTCAATTTTAATTCAATATTCATTGTTTTCAAACTATATTATTAGACTTTGTTGTATTTTGCGAATGTATAAATGTTTTCTAAGTATAAAGTTGCATTATAGTAATTTAAATTATATTACATACATATTTAAGATTCAAATATTATGACATATATGTCAGTTGCCGTCTAAAATGTCATCTTGATAACAAAAAGTTAGTTATTGTCAAAAGTAGTTAAAATCATGTTAAAATATTAAAATTTACAAGTTATAATTAGATATTTTATATTATTTCAACAACAAACACATAATAGTAAAGCGTAATGTTGATATGCAGGTTCAAAACAAAAAGTGCCGTTATATTTTTCAGTTTTCGTTGTCAGCCGCGAAAATTTCAGTGATTTTAGTGTTGTCGGATATTTTTATTTGTGAAATAGAAATATTGCGTTTGGATTGCAAAACTAAAAGTGGAAGTTTTGTTGCAATGTAAGTAAGCGTTTGTCCATTTTATATTTTACTTTTTTCATACCTACGACAAATATACATATATTGAAATTCGTTTTATTTAAAAAATGTTAGAAAACAAGCTTGTAATCCTGTAATTGACATAATTGTTATGTAATATATTCCATTTAAATGTAATATATTACTTTACAATTAAAAAAATGTAAATTTAAAAAATATATTAAAATATATACAGGCATTAATTGAAATTTTTTGAGTGCGAACAAACACGAGAGGCGCTTTATTATTTACTTTCATTTCTTAACATGACAGACGAAGTTCTAAAGGGAGATGTTTTGTGATTCTGACCCATAGATAAAAGACTTATACTATTAAATAGATAGGCAACTTATAATACATTTCAATTTTATTATACAAGGGCGCCTCTGGTAGATGGAGGAAGAAATACTATTGGAAGAGAGGGGTGCGGGGAAAGGGGGGTTGTTTTAGTTAATTTAAAATAAATTTAGACATACATGTAAGAACACTTTGTGTGCTTTTAATTAGGTCGAACATATTATAAACGATAAATCAACTGAATTAAAAGCATACAAAGTGTTCTTATATGTCGGATATTAATTAAAAAATATATTAAAAATACTAGAAATAGCATATATTAAGTTGTTACAGTTATAATTTAATCTTTGGCGGTTTTCAGCAAATAGCAGGCAGTTTTACATAATTTTCCTCCCTTTGAAGTGAATTGGAAACGGCTAGGTATATAATTTTGGTGTAGGCAAGATTCCCAGTTTGTTTCTGTTTGGGACCTGAAATAATAAAAACAAATTAAATCAGATGTAATCATCTGCTGATCATGCTAATATAAAACGCGCGTCCTTAATTCCTTACATGCACCGTAAAAAAATTTAAATAACTGCTCTGCAAGTAGCATTTATTAGCAGTACTAATTTAAAAAATCTATAACTGTAAGTAGATATGTTTAATTTACTTACCATTGTATCCTTCGGAAACCAGGAGTACAACAATTAAACTCCATGATAAAAAATAATTAAAAGTTATTACAAAACACAAATTGTCCCCCATTTTAAAAAAACATTGTCTAAAACAGAATACTGGCAAAAAATCTGAAGGAATTTAATTTTACAATAATTCGACAAATCAAAACGAAATCAAACAGTAAAATCACAACAAAAGCGTCTCTGAGTGACAGTTAAAAATCAAATTTTATTATTGTCAGATATTGACATTTGCATTGTTAATATTGACAGTTTTAATATTTTGCGCCTCTGCATCTTGGAGGAAAAACTATTTTTAATGAACTGTCATTTCCATTTAAGTTTCCCAGCCATGTTCTGACCATATTCTGACTTTGACAAGAGAAAATTATTTCTTTTTTTGTTTGCCGTTGTTCTTAGCGACCGCTATAGCAGCGCCAGATCGCGTATAACGGTCGCGACCCAAAATAATTTCGCGATCCAAAATTTTTACGGGCTTTCCAATCTAAACTTGTTGCATTTATCTATACTGCCTGTTCACCGCAAATTTTCCCCCGGTAAAATTTTTTAATCTCTGATATTACCATAGTTACCGCTTTACTCCATGGTTACGGCACTAAAAGGGATACAAATACAGAAAAAAATCCGGTGGCTTTCAAAATTTTTTCAAAAAAAAATCAATTTTTTTTAAGTTTTCAAACTTAAATAACTCGGTTATTTTGGACTTATCTGAAAAATGGTAAAGAGAAAATATGTTTCTTTTATCGAGATCTACCAGCCCTGAAAATATTTGAACTTATTTAAAACTCACCCTGTATATATGTTTTTGTAAATATTGGATAATCCAGTAAAATCTTTTCATTATCAGTGATTATTGACTATATTTTTATGGATTTTAAGGTGAAATTAGAGTAAATGAACAACTTATACTGACCGTGATGCACACCTTAATGGCCAGAGAGCACAACAGAGTAGCCAGAGAACTAGCTGCTGTCAATCCTCATTGGGATGATGAAACCCTATTCCAGGAAGCCAGAAGAGTCAATATTGCTATCATCCAGCATATCACATACAACGAATTCTTGCCCATTTTGCTTGGAAAGGACGTCATGGATAAGTTTGGAGTCTTGTTACAGAAGGATGTAAGTTTTTTTTTCTTTTGCATAGCCAACGAGTTATAAATAGGATACGATCGAAAAAAACGGTGTCAAAGACGGCTGGGGAATGACAATCGATAGTAATTTTGGCGAGGTCAAGCTCAAAATGCCATTTACTTGTACGGTATATTCTATTCTTTTTTAATCTTTCTACAATTACTGTTAATATTTGACAAGATTTATGTCAAATTTTAGTACGCCGTTTTTTTTTTTCAATCATACAGTAGAATTAATAATCATAATATATTGATGAAAGAAATATGGTGTGCAAGATTTTATTTGAGTAATTTTTCGAAACCGAGTTCAAAACCTTGGAATGTTTTTGTTTTATTAAATTATAGTTTTAATATATTTTTGACTTTTAAAAAATTTCAGGGTTATTGGAATGGACATGATCCCAGTGTCAACCCCAATGTAATAGATGCCTTTGCAGCTGCTGCTTACAGATTCGGGCATTCTCTGTTACCTACAGCCGTTGAAAGATGGAGCAAAGCCCATAAATTTATTGGTAAGTATACTTATTGGTATTTTTACCGTTTTACGGCTATATACTGTTTTACAATTATTATTATTATTAACTTTCGGAGATACAGGGTGCAGAATTTTTATTTTTATTTCGATTTTTTCCAAATAATTTCTGAAGTAACGTCAAAATTTGGATGAAAATTAGTGCCTGGGAGTTTTTTGACATGATAAATTTGATTTTGATGTGAATATGACTCCTACTTGCAGAGGGCGTCACCTATATATTTTTAACTGGTTTGAACAGTAATAACTTTTCGTCCGTACCTGTATAAAACTACTGAGTGAAAAAATATACATGTCCGAGATTTTTTACGTAAAAAATGTCTCTTGGTAAAAATCGCTACGAGCACCCGTTCTCAAGATATTTAGAATGGAAATAGTCAATACATGTCATTATTGACAAAAAATAAACACACGTCGAGTTGATCTGTTATTTGACAGAAATTATAAATTTAGAAACTTTTTATTTTTTTTAATTAATCATAAATTTTTCTTCGAAAAGATAATGATAAAACAGTTTCTGATTTCAGTCTAATAGCTATTTAGACATCATGTTTAATTTATGTCAATGATGACAGGTATTGATAATTTCGATTCCAAATATCTCGAGAACCATATTAGTCGTAGCGATTTTTACCAAGAGACCTTTTTTACGTAAAAAACGTTGTAAATGAATATTTTTTACTCAGTAGTTTTATACAGGTACCGACGAAAGAATATTACTCTTCAAACCAGTTAAAAAAATATGTAGGTGGCGTCCTCTACAAGTAAGAGTCATATTGACATCAGAATCAAATTGCTCATGTCAAAAAAATCTCAAACACCAATTTTCATCCAAATAGTGACGTTACTTCAGAAATTATTTGGAAAAAATCGAAATAAAAACGAAACTTCTACACCCTGTATCTCCGAAACTAAGCGTTTTAGGACATACATTTATATGGACTTTTTTACTATTTTTATCTGCAGAATATGCTGCTGTGAAATACAGTTCGGACCACCCTGTATATTCACTTCCCTCTTCCATTTTCCGTACACATTTTACTTGTCTTATTGTTAAATTATATAGTATAGTAGATAAAAACATTTATCACTTAAAATAAAAAACAAATATAAAATCATATTTATTAAATTAATGACTTCAAAAAAATAATAATAACTTTAAGACGTTTTTGATTTCATCTGGATGTACTTACTTCTGTTTCTAGCTTCAAAACGTCTATCTGACCTCATTCGCCGACCTTACGACTTGTACAGGGCCGGAGTCCTGGACGAGTACATCATGGGCCTGATGAACCAGGTGGCCCAAGCTATGGACGACTCCATCACCCAGGAGGTGACCAATCACCTGTTTAAGAAAGTGGGAGCCAGGTTCGGTATGGACTTGGTCAGTTTCAACATGCAGCGAGGCAGGGAGTTCGGTATTCCTGGATATATGGAGTACCGGAAGTTCTGTGGCCTACCACCGAGTAATACTTTCGAGGAGATGTTTGGATCGATGCCCAATGAGACTGTGACGAAGTTTTCATCGATATTCCAGTAAGTATTTTTATTTTTCCCATATAAATTTATACAGGGTCTCTTTTAAATCAATGCACCAAGTATTTTAACTGGTAGTATTATAGTTCGACTCCTATAAGCACTCCAACATTCTTATTGTAAAAAAAATTCTTGCTATTTCCCGGAACATTAAAAAAAGAGCTTTTTATGTCGCATGTTAAGAATTTCTTGACGGTTGATAGTGTATCGATCACTGACTAAAGAAAACAATGACATGTAACGCCCATATACGGGCTGCAGCAGAATTTGTGACGTTAGACGCCAGTTTTTTGGAAGTAACGAATGACTCATCAGCTGGTCATCAGCGACAATTTTAGCGACTTTTAATAGTTTGTTGTGTGTAGTGAACTTTGTATAAACTTTATTACAATTGTAATTTGTTCAGCTTTCAAGTGTAAAAGGCGCAATGATTAGAAAGACCCAGGAGTTACATTTCATATGGAAATAAACAATCCACTCCACCTTTTTAGCGTTTTTTTTTATTGAATTCGATAATTATTTTTCTGATATTATAGGTATGTACTTGATATGTGCTATTAGCTCGATACTAGTTTTGTACCTTTTGTTAACATTTTAATACGATACTACCGCATACACCATAGGCGTAGTCAAAACATTTATCAAAAATATAAATATCGCTTCAAGCGGCTATTAATAAATAATAAAAGGAAAATATGTGCCACGGCACTGTTTGAAAGGTAAATGGTTTAAACAGTTTGGTTTCGGGTGTAATTTGTCCTTGTACAATATTCTTTAGTCATTGGTATCGATATCGATAATGCGATACACTATCACGCACTCTATAGCATCTCTATAGTGCGTGATAGTACGTGACGGTAAATTTGATGCTACATTGCTTCGTTTGTCTGTTATAGAGGGCATCAATCAAAAATAAACTTGAACAATAATTAATTTAAAATTAATGAAATTTACTGCCAAATATCATTTGTGATGCTAACATAAAATTCCATATTTTCGCCAACCATTTGTAGATTGAGAGAAGGCTGGTATCTTTTCTGTTAAAGTACAAAATACTTACTGAATATCAATTTGGATTTCTAAGCAACAAGTCCACAAATGACGCTATGTTTTCCCTCCTTAATAAAGTTTACTCCAGCCTAAACAACCATCATTCTACAGCAACAATTTTCTGTGATTTTTCTAAGGCGTTCGATTGTGTAAATCATAAGATCCTAATTAATAAACTGCAGCACTATGGGTTCAGGGGATCATCTCTCGAATGGTTTAAGTCGTATCTGAGCAACAGAAGTCAACTTGTGAGGGTGGATACCACGTTGTCTTCTAGCAAGCCAATAGAATGTGGAGTACCACAAGGCTCAGTACTAGGCCCTATTTTGTTTCTTCTTTTTATTAACGACATTGCTAACATAAACATCAGTGGCAAAATATGTCTTTTTGCGGACGACACTAGCTTCACTTGGAGCAACAAGGACATCGCGGCACTTCATAGGATTATATCAAATGACTTAATCACCATTAAATCTTGGTGCGATTCGAACCTCCTGAGTCTCAACATTTCTAAAACTAAGGCTTTGTCGTATAAAAACTCGTTGCAGCCTTTTGTACTTGACAACACCACCATTGACGTCGTAAAATCCGTAAAATTCTTAGGGCTTGTTGTGGACAATTCTCTGAAATGGGACATACATATCGAAGCTTTGTCGAAAAAATTGAGCTCTGCCTGTTTTGCATTAAGGTCTGTTTCTAAGGAGCTTAACTTGTCAGTGGCTAGAACTGTTTATTATGCACTTTTTGAGTCGCACCTCAGGTATGCCCTTCCATTCTGGGGTACGTGTTGTGCGGCTCAATTTGACCGCATTTTCAAGCTCCAGAAGAGAGCTGTTCGATATTCACTGGGACTAAACAGCAGAACTCATTGCCGGGGCTTTTTTAGAGAATTAAAAATATTGACTCTTCCTTCCTTATTTATATTTGAATCCGTTTGCCTAATACGTAAACATGTATCAGCTTCTCAAGAAAGGCCATCTCACACTTATCCACTCAGGAACGCGGAGCAAGATCTTTATCTACCTACCCCACGCTCAGAGTTAGTTAAAAGTTCAATATTATACAACTCGAAAAAAATGCACAATCACCTGCCATTTGAAATCAAATCCATAACATCATTTTTTTCATTTCGCAAAGCATTGAACTCTTATTTACTAGACAAGGCTTTCTACGCCGTAAATGAATTATATTTGAATTGAAAATCGAATTTGATCTTGAAAACACTGGGCTAATGTTTGCTATTGCTATATTTACTAATGACATCGAAATTAATTTATTTAGAGGTCATCGATATTTTGCTATAAACTGGCTAAATATTTTTGAATATTATTTTAATTTTTTTATTCTTTGACATTGTAAACATTTATAAATGTTTATTTTAACAATAAGACTGACAATATTATTTGTATAATGTTTTGTATTATCTTTTGTTTGTGTACCTTGTTTTTTTTTTACTTTGTTTGTTAGTTTACCTTTGTCTACAAATTGAAAAAATTTTTGTCAATAAAGGCTTTTATTTATTTATTTGATTATTAGCGGCATACTAGATTTTATGCGCCAATATAGGTCGCCTAGGGAGCATTTTATTCCTTTAAGGGAAATGGTTTCTAGGTGACGTCGTTGTTACGTTCGTGTGACGTAACGGTAACGTTACATTCTCAAAGACGTACTGGTAACGTAACGACATCACATTGGGTGCGTTGGTGCATTCAGAGTTCAGGGACGGTCAGCGGCTGAGTAAGCGACTTCCCTAAACCGTCTCTTTTTACCCTTGTATAAAGACATTTTACACACAAATACAGCCGCTGAGTAAAAGTCTCAGCGGTCGCTCAGCCGCTGTGTTAACAGGAGCCAAAAATAAAGCCGTAATAAATACTAGAAGGGCCATTTTACGTCGGCCCATTCGTCGCTGGAGTTGGAAAATATTTCTACTAAAATATATGTAGGGGTGGGGGTAGTTTTCACACTTCCCGTACTTTTCCGTATTTTTTTTGTGAAAGTCAATGCTACACTTAGCAAAACATAGGCACCCCAAATCTCATTCATATCGGAATAATTCTAAAAATATCTTAAAAAAGTGTTTAATTTTTTAAAGTTTGATTCCCTCTGACGGTCAAATGTAACACTTTTGTATAGAGGTAAATTGTATCCAATGAAATTATTTTGATTCCCGAAATACGTAGTGGTTCTATGTTCACGGAATATTGGGACACCCTGTTATTAAAGTAACTAGTAATTCATCCTGGGGAGGCATAGGTTTGAACCCAGGGGGGGCCTAGGGATTTTGTTTTTTTAAAAAACGAAGAATAATATCATTAAAAATAAATACACTTTTTGAATAAAACGTTTACATTTGTTTTATTTGTTCCCGTGGATTACTTAAATACTTACAAATTTTGTAAAAAAATAAAAACTAACACACAATTTTTGAATAAAGCAAAATAATATCAACTAAACAAAAATGGAAAAAGTCATTTTTACTAGATCACAAACAAATAAAAATTAATATTTAGCCAAGACTCATCTTTCAGTCAAAATTCAACATTTCCCTGGGGGGTGCCCAGCAGTACTTGTACCCCTGTAGTTACGCCAATGCACCTTCTCTAATAAAAATCCAAAAAAATCGAAAATACAAAATTCTCGATTTTTTCTTTCACGAATAAAACCTCATAGATGTGTTCCTATAGGGCTAAAACACTCTTAAAAATATTTGCACTTATTTAATAAGACTCACTCTGTACAGGTACAAAAACAACTACGTTTTAGTGCACCCAATGAAAAAATGACTGAAGAGATGTCATTGAGTGTACCTAACAATATTAATTAAAAATTAATCTAAAAACCCAGACTTTCTTAATTTAAAATTAATTTTTCTTTCGCAGACATCCAGCTGATATAGACTTATGGTCTGGAGGTGTATCTGAAAGGCCACTACCAGGTAGCATGTTAGGTCCAACTTTCGCTTGTATCATAGCTACTCAGTTCAGTTATTCAAGAAGAGGAGACAGATTTTGGTAAGATAATTTTTTGATTATTTCCATCAATTTTTAAGTATATCTACAAAAATTTCGATCAAAACTAGAACAAATAATTTTCAGGTATGAACTGCCTAATCAGCCATCCAGTTTTACACTAGAACAATTACAAGAAATTAGAAAAGCGAGACTAGCAAGAATTATTTGCGACAATACTGACTTGATTGATACTATACAACTTTATCCAATGGTGTTACCAGATCATGAAATGTAAGTTCAGAACTATTACATTTATTTATCTTTTACATAAAAAAACTATAGTTTGTTCTCAGTTAGTATATCACAAACATATCCTTATTTATGTAGCAACAAATAAAATATATCATTGAAACAGAAGTATTCTGAAACTCGGTATATTTATTTGGAATATATAAAATTCTTTTTTTTTCAGTAATCCACGTGTGCCTTGCAAGAGTCAAATTATACCAAGCATGGATTTCTCGAAATGGGCAGAGTTTCCACATCAAGCATTCTTCGATCCTTTAGGAAAAAAATAATAATGACATCAACTCTCCAGTTGCCATAGCTTAAAACTATTTATTAATAGAACCATTAAGAATATTAGGATTTTAAAAGAATCATGAAATTTTTGAAAAATTTCAAAAAGATGAAATAGACAAATTTGAACGATTTTAAAAATAGTTCTCCAAATAGTGCCAAACAGTGTAAAAATCAATATACAGGGTGACTGAAACTTAATTTATGGATATGATATATTACATGTTACTAAAAAAACTATATTTTAATACTATCGACTGTAAATCACCCTGTGTATCTTAGATATCTGAAAGTATGAAGAAAATGAAGAAAAATAATCCAGTATAAATGCATTTATGGCCATATTCAAATGCCATTATTTTCTCTTCCAATTATAAGTCTGTTCTACATCAGTATAAATATAGTTTAAATGTACCACTCAGTATATAAAGTTGAAAAACTGCCGCATGTTTAACTTAAGCCCTGTACATTTGTGTAAAATTATAAATAAGTAATTTAATTATAGTACTATTTTTTACTTAAATATTTTTGTATAAAATATAAAAATAAAATATACAAAAAAACGATTTTTATTCCTTAATAATCTTAATAGATTATGCAGTGAATATACATAATGATTCAAAAGGTAAACTTTAACCGTAAATTAACACAGTATATCATACTGTATATCTAAGATATATGAAAGTAAATATATGAAGAATATAACAATCATCATCATCATTTTCAGCTTATTCAACCATTTCCAATTATGGTGTAGCGTCCCTCAGGGTGCAGCCACACTATCCTAAAAACGGCGTATCGGCGTAACGGCGTAATGACCTTGAATAGATTTCCAGTAATTCTATTGGCTGAAACATTCATCTATCAGAAATTTTATCTGTCAAATTCATCTGTCAAAAATTTCAGCCAATAGAATTACTGGAAATCGATTCAAGGTCGTTACGCCGTTACGCCGATACACCGTTTTTAGGATAGTGTGGCTGCACCCTCACATATTTACATACTCTCTTTGTAGTTGGGCCATATATATATTAACTAAAGTATATCGACGAATGCAATTTGGAGCATTCTGTGAAGCCAAGCCGGTGAAATGGGTATATAAATCGTCTGAAAGAATTTGCATAAGTCGCTCAATTAGCTGTGCTCAAGCGTAGTGCGCAAGCCTAAATTTTTAATTATTGATCGGATGACCAGACCAATAAGAGACTGGACGCTAGCACCAGCTGTTCATTCGTACGGCTCCGTCCAACTTCGTACGGCTTTCGTTTGCGTTCCCGTTCGACAATTGGCTAATCCTGGCTAATCGATATTCGGAATTTTGGAGTTGCGCTGTTGCGCCAGTATCTGCCTAACAGATGAACTTATGTGAAATATACATGAACCGGTTATCTAGTTGTCTCTAACTCGGCTTCAACTCCAATCATTGCAGGGATAGGAGATAATCAGTATATATTTGATATGTATATGAGTTGGGCCCATTTTTGTCTATCGTTGGCTATGCGGGCCCAAGTTATTCCTGCTAATTTCCTAATATCATGGTCCCATCTTTGTTTGGTCTTCTTATAGGTCTCTTAATTCCTTGTGGGTACCATGCTGAAATTCTTGGGGTCCATCTGTTTTCCGTCCTTCTTGCCAGATGTCCTGCCCATTGCCATTTGACGGATTTGATTCTGTGGATGACATATATTACATGGGTCTTTTGTCGTGTCCACTCTATTCTTTTGCGGTCTCTCTTGGTTATTTTCGCTATAATCTCCCAGCATATTTCGTTTCATTGAGCGTTGTGCGACCTGCAGTTTCCTTAAAATGAAGAATAATAATTCATTTTATATACGTGGCCACGGAATCCGTAGTAGACCCTGTAGATCCGTTAGTAGACCAGGGTCAATTAAAACTCACAATAAAATACTTAACTAATTTATTTTCTCACTATATACACAAAATTTATACTGATTACAACACACATTTAACTATTTAAAAAAATCCTTCGCCAAATTGTCACGATTCACAATTTCAAACTCTCTGTATTTCAAAACTGAACTGAACTAACGCGTGCGGCAGCTTATACAGATTGTTAACTGGACGGTTACTTATTGGGGAACAGAATGGCAACACTGCCTACATTCCAAATGAGTACTAAGCTAAGCTGCCGACTCGTCCCGTGTGTCGCGTCGTCACTCGACGAACGGGCCGAGGTTGCCATGTTTCAACCATAAAGCTCTTGCCGCGAGTAATAAACAAAATAACCTGTTTGTGGCCGCGTCTCGAACGTTCGAAAATTATCTGTAACTTTCTATACCATTCTGCCCCTTACCAGTAAATTCTGCTGCCTGGCTCGAATTATAGAACTCGCTAGATACACCTTAACAATACATGCTATACAATTTTGCCGTTATTTCATCTTTAATTATAAGGCTGCTTCTTAGGCAGCCTGTTTAATGTAAGCCCTATACATTTGTAAAATAGAAGTAACTTGATTACAGTGCTATTTTTTATTTAGTCTTAAGTATTGCTAAATAAAATGTAAAAATAATATAGAGGGTGGTCAAAATTGTATTCCGGAAACTTCGGCAACATATTCTGCATATAAAAATAATTAAAAAAGTTCGTATAAATGTATATCCTAAAATGCTTGGTTTCCGAGATACAGGGTGTAGAAGTTTCATTTTTATTTTGATTTGTTCCAAATGATTTCTGAAGTAACGTCAATATATGGATGAAAATTGGTGTCTGGGAGTTTTTTGACCTGATAAATTTCATGTTTATGTCAATATGACTCCTACATATAGGGGGGGGGAGGCCACCTACATATTTTTTAAATGGTTTGAAGAGTAATAACTTTTCGTCTGTACCGGTATAAAACTACTGAGTCAGAAAAGATACATTTACGACGTTTTTTACGTAAAAAAGTTCTCTTGGTAAAAATCGCTACAAGTAATGGTTCTCGAGATATTTGGAATTGAAATTTTCAATATCTATCGTCGACATAAATTAAACATGTTGACTGAATAGTTATTAGATAGAAAACATAAATTTAAAATGTTCTTGTGGCAAAAGTTCAACAGAAACTGTTTATCATCATTTTTTCAAAGAAAAATTTATGATTAATTTAAAAAAGTAAAAAGTTCCCAAATTTATTATTTCGGCCAAATAGCTACGTACTCAACCTGTTTATTTTTTGTCAATAATAACATGTATTGACTATTTCCATTCTAAATATATCTTGAAAAAAGTTGCTCATAGCGATTTTTACCAAGAGACATTTTTTACGCAAAATATCATGACAATGTATATTTTTTACTCGGTAGTTTTATGCAGGTATGGACGAAAAGTTATTACTCTTCAAAACGGTTAAAACACATGTAGGTGGCGCATCCTACAAATAGGAGTCATATGGACATCAAAGTCAAATTTCTCATGTCAAGAAACTCCCAGACACCAACTTTCATCCAAATATTGACGTTAATTCAGAAATTATCTAGAAAAAATGGAAATAAAAATGAAACTTTAACACCCTGTAGCTCCGAAACTAAGCATTTTAGGATATACATTTATATATACAAACTTTTTTACTTATTTTTAAAGGCAGAATATGTTGCAGAAGTTTCCGGAATACAGTTCGGACCACCCTGTATAAATCAACTTAATATTATTAAGTTGTTAATTGTTCTTTCTCAGAGGTGTGGAAAAAGACTTCAAAAGTTATTTTTGTTTAAACAAATTTTGATTTAAATAAAACTATTTCTTACTATAAAAAATTACTTATTTATTCACTTAAATTAAAACTAGGTACTGGCTTACCCACTGAAAAATACATAAAAATCGACTCGACTCACAACAAAAAAATAGCTCCACTGGCGTACCTTCTTTTCTATATAAACCAAAAATTAATTTAAAATCTTAGTTTAGTCTAGTTTATATGATACCTGTGTATAAAGTTAATAATAATAATAATAGCTCCCGTATATAGCGTTTAACGCCTTGGGAGTAGCAAGGTACAGCTTGCCATACTAGAGCCGTTCGGTATACAAGGAAGGTAATGTGGCTAGCACTACGCTTCAACCGCCTATTATTACCTCAGGATTGTGAATCCTAAGTACTCATTTAAGGCTGAGTCGACCTAGGTACCCAAACTATTTTTATTTTAATAAAAATAGTCGGCTGATGAAATGCCGGGTGTGAGATTCGAACCCACTACCTTCAGATTGGTAGACGAGAGCCTGTACCTCTACGCCACCGGGCACCTTGTATAAAGTTCATATACTAAATTTAATTTTTAATTTCACGATTGAAAAAATATAGTATTTTAAATAATCTTTACCGCCACCAATATCCCAAATGCGGTTATAAACTGGTATATATGTATTTTAAAACGGCAACAAAATAAATAATTCTATTAAGAGTCTATGGAACCAGAGAATACTACCAATGGAGATACAAAAATATACAACAGACAATACAATTAACAATTAACATCTGTGATGCGATACTTCCTATAAAAAGGCACTTATATTAAATTTAAAAAAATGTGTTTTTGTTTAGTGGCAACTCAATCTTCTGATATTGTCTCAGGTACCGTATGAATGATAACTTTTCTTTTTGAATCGTAACTAAAATGATTATTTTCAAATATTTTACTTTTATAGAATGATGTGAGATCGCGTATATCTATTTGTTTGGCCTAAAAGAAAATAAAAAATTAAAAATAACAAATAAAAATTAATAAAAATCAGTGAAAGTACCTTATCAATCAGATCTTTCTCATCTATTTCTATCGTAAGCGTTTCCATTTCATTTGTGGCTCTTTGGAAGGTGAACTGATCTTGAACAAGCTGTCTTAATATGTAGAACAATAATTCGCTGTGGTCCTTTTTGAAAGCTAAATATTTCTGGAATACCTGAAAGAAACAAATTTTGTACAAAATAATCAGTAAAAACTACCAGAACCTTAAACACTTAAAATCAAATCAAAAAGTCTCAATCACTCCTTCGATAACAAGTATTTCTCATGTACTTACTTGTCTCATCGATTTCATGACGCTGTATTTCTGGGTCTCCACGAAACTTTCCAGCATCATTCGCACAGCCATGTTGACGTCGTCTTCTTGGACGTACTCTCTCAAATGCATCTTAGCGTGGGCTTCGCTCATACGAATTATACTTTCGATGTGACGAACAGTAATGGGAAGACTGCCTGTAGCCTGTAAAAAAAAACATTGTAAAGAGAAGAAAAAATATAAAAAAAAGAATCAAAGAACAAAAAAAATTCTAAAAAGAGAAAAAAACAAACTATGACAGAACATAACAAAAGGAGAACAATGAAAAAAAAAAAAGAAATAAAAAAGGAAATAAAAAAAAAGAAAACGAAAAAAGGCTAACAAAAAAACCTACTCAGAAAGAGAATCAGAGCACAAAGACAACAAATATAGAAAAACAAAAATATAAAACTAAAAAAACTAGAATATAGAAAACAAATAAATAAAATCTACCTATGAAGGTAAAAAAATATCAAAAAGAAAACAATTACAGAAAAAGATATAAATAAGAAAAATTAAATTAAATGGACAAAAAACAAGATAATAATGAGAGAAACAGAGCAATTAAAATAGCGATATTTAAAATAAAAACTTGAAAATATTACATAGGAAACTATATAATAACATCGGTCAATAAGCAAAACACACCAAAAAAATTTTTTTAATGCATTTTTACTGGACTAACTAATTAAGGACTTGATAAATATACAAATAATTTAAAAATAAAACTAATAGTTCTTAGAAGACTTAATATAAAAAAAAATTAATAGAAAAATAAATTTACTTATTTTTGTTTAAAATGTAGCTCTATATTCTGGAAGAAATCTAGTCAAATGATATAAACATTAAACATGTCAAAAATATAGATCTATTACAAAAAATGATAAATGATACCAAATAAAAAATACCAAAAGACTATCAAGGGACTGTAAAAATCGGCTTTCACAGTCCAGAAGATTTCTATCAGTAACCACAATACCTTAAAAAAGATCAAAAGTACGAAAGAATACAAGAACATTATAAAGATCAAGAGAAAGAAAAAAGAGTAATAAAAGAAAATATGATAATAAAAAAAGATTATATAAAGGAAATATACAAGAAAAATGAAAATAGTACCAAAAAATAGATCACTAATAAACTAAAAAAGACAAAGGAGAAAATAGTAAGAAAAAATAAAAATAAAGATAAAAAATAGTACATGAGAAAATTGATAGGGGATGGAATAAATAAAAAGGATTGTTTGGTACTTTCAGTAGTGTCACAAATTACTACATTATTGTAATACGTTCAATATATACATATGTATAATCTAACCAGAGATTCTTGTCTCAGTTGACTGTAGATGTTAGCCACTTTATCCTGATCCATGTTTTGTAATTTAGGATGTATATTTTCCCTGGCGTACACCAGGTATTTCTTCAGTATATCTTGAGGAATCTGTAGCTCATTTTCTACCTCAACTTGTTCTTTGTTCTTATTGGTGGGATGATTGGAAATGTGAGAATTCACAACAAATCTAAAAACATTTTAAGGTATTAATATATTAAAATACAAAATATTATATTAATAACTATTATTATTTAATTTCTTTAAGATTCTTACTTGGCTAGATGCTGGTCTTGAATAGGATCAGTCTCGTCCCTCACCACGCACAATATGTCAAAACGTGACAGAATGGGGTCGGACAAGTTGACGTTTTCCGTAAACGTCATACTGGCATCGTACCGTCCACCAATGGGATTGGCGGCGGCTATAACTGAACATCTGGCTTGCAAGCTGGTGACAATTCCGGCCTTTGAGATGGATATGGACTGTTGTTCCATGGCTTCGTGAATAGACGTTCTGTCTTGATCGTTCATCTATAAATAACACGAAATTATGATTAAATAAAGAGAAATACTATACTGAAATTTAGAAATAAACTGGAAAAACAAAAATATAGAAAAATGATTAAAAAATCATATACCCTATTGGCAACCGAAATCTTGGGTCGGTGTTTACATGTCTCGGAGTGAATCGCTATGGCGATCTAGTAAGTCAGAGAGAGAAACCAAAACCACTTAATCTGAAGCTAGATTCTATGCGCTTGAGAAAATACTCGCTCTTCTTTCTTTATTCAGTACATCTTAAAAAGTAATAGACATAAAAATAATAGACACATAATAAATCATTTGGAAAAAAAATAAAAGATTTCCAGGCGCTAATTTACTGAACCGATGCAGCACGTGCAAGAATAAAGCGTGTATTCTATATTTAAATATTAATTTTCACATGTTTTATGTTAATTTTAAATAATCACATGTAGGTGATGACCACACAGAATTTATGTGAAACGGCGTAGTGTAAATCAAAAAATAAGCAAGGGAAGTTTGGCAGAACAGTCCTCATTCAAATAAAATACTGTCTATCATGTCCAAATAATCTCATTTTAAAGTTAAAAGACTTAAACAAAAAAAATAGAAATAAAAAGATGCAAAATCAAAAGACATAAAATCTACGAATATTAAAAAAGAAAAAATATATTGATAAAGAAACATAACAAAAAGAAGAAAATAAATAATTTAAATATAAAAGAAATGTGGTTGTAAATATAAAAGAAATGTGGTTGTAAATATAAAAGAAATGTGGTTGTAAATAAAAAGAAATATTCTACAAACCTTGTCGAACTCGTCGATGAGACAAACACCTTGGTCGGCCAAAACCAAGGCTCCTGCTTCCAAGGTCCATTCTCTGGTGGCAGGGTTTCGCCTTACGTAAGCCGTGAGACCCACAGCACTGGCTCCTTGACCAGTGGTGAATACGGCCCTGGGCGCTATTTTTTCGACGAATTTCAAAAACTGAGACTTGGCAGTACCTGGGTCGCCGCAGATCAGCACGTTGATGTCGCCACGGACTTTGTGTTTCTGACCTATAAAAGACAATAAGTTGTAGAGGAGTCGCCCATTGCTTGCGATTTAAAGTTTCGCTGATACATGAGCATGTGTTTAGATACTGTTAATCTAATGCTATAATATAATATTCCAAAAGTATATAGTACCACACTGCCTAACTATTAAAACAATTTTTAGTAATGTGTTTCTTAATTTTTTTTAAATTACTTATACGCGCATTCAAAATTTCAACTAAATCGGAAAAAAAGTTTATAATAATATAGTGTCTAATTTTGTATAGAATAAAATTATATAAGAGTTTCTTGCCTTGAACTGCTAATATAGAAATTAATCCCACGCTGTGTTCGACATAATGTGGATCAACCTGCTCTCACTACCGGTTTCGGGGCCCTACCCCATCATCAGGTGAGCTTGGATCGTTTCCACAAAATGTCGAGCACAGCGCAGAGTATATAAATACGACTTGTCGTAAAGTAGCGGTAAGATATTAAGTCCCGCATCGCGAGATAGTGGCCTGCGTGCATTGGTAGTACTTTCGTACCACCAAAGTACAACTATCCATAGTAAATAAAGGCTTTTTTCGGCTAGCCCAAATTAAATAATGGAATATAAATTTCTTGCAGTTTTTAGGTATATAATAAAATTATATAAGAGTTTCTTGCCTTGAACTGCTAATATAGAAACTAATATAATAATATAATATTGCACGCAGGCCGCTATCTCGCGATGCGGGACTTAATATCTTACCGCTACTTTACGACAAGTCGTATTTATATGCTCTGAGCTGTGCTCGACATTTTGTGGAAACGATCCAAGCTCACCTGATGATAGGGGTAGAGTAGAGCACCGGTAGTGAGAGCAGGTTGATCCACATTATGTCGAACACAGCGTGGGATTAATTTCTATATTAGCAGTTCAACGCAAGAAACTCTTATATAATTTTATTATATACCTAAAAACTGCAAGAAATTTATTTTCCATTATATATATATACCTTTTTATAGTAATAAATACTTTTACTTTGGCAAATAAACTATGAACCATACAAATGCAGCAAATGTTTTACAATATAGCTGAAATTGTACTACATAGTCAATGTAGATAGTTTTAGTGTTAAGAATAATAATTTAAAAAAATATGTGGTCATCTTTTGACAAGTTTATATTAGTTTTTATATTATATTTGCAAATATAATTTTTCGAACATTGCAAAATATACATATAAATTTTGTGAATGCAAATAATAGAGAACAACGGCATACGGTCGAGTCGGCCTACAAATACGTAAACGTTTACATACGCATGCGCATTTCTTATATTTTTTATTTTTTATACACGTAAAAGATTCTGTACGTCTACGTATACGTGCCAGCAGCGGCCGACTCGACCGTATGCCGTTGTTCTCTAATAATACATCACTATTAGTAGATATTGGATGTTTTTTGTTAAATTAGATCGATTTTCAAACCCCAAAATTTAAAATATATTTTACATTTTACCGATTATCTTATGTACCTATTCATTATTTGTATATTGTAAAACATTTGCTGCATTTATATGGTTCATAGTTTATTTGCCAAAGTATTTATGACTATAAATAGGTATATATTATATTGTATTTATTAACTGTATATTATGTATATTTCATGTAAACTATATCATTTTTAAAATACAGACCAAAAATACGAGGAATAATTATGTTTTCCATGTATTCTACAACATATTTATTAATCCGTAGTATCTAACTAGCGTGACATCATAAATCTCGCTCCGAGGCTGTTCTATTAGAGACGGCATTGGTCTGATATTTAGAAAGGTCAAAAGCTGATGACATTTTACTTTTGTCAATTATGACATTTCATGTTAATTTTTGCAAGAAGAGGAAGAACTGTCACTTGTTTTATTATTTTCCTTTTCTATTTCACGAAAGTAAAAAGAGTTACCTATCTGATTCGTTCAGGCACTCAATTTAAAGAATATCAGTAACTTTTTTGACAGAGGGATTTTACATTTGCCATGTTGGTAAAAAATAACGGTCAAAATTCAAAGTTATTCATTTTATAGACTATATTTTGGCAGTACATGTACAGGGTACTAAGAATAGCTCTCGGCTGTATCTCGGAAAGTATTAGTCGTAGAGCTTGCGGAAAAAAATATTTATAATTAATAAGACCATAACAAATTGCTGGAAATTATTTTCAAGTTTATAGAACGGCCGCTAGAGAGCGTAAATGCTATGGAAAATAACAAAATGGAATTTTTAAGAAATTTTGCCTAGATACGATGTACTATAAATAATAGCATCATAATCTTCAGTCAATTTTGGATCCTTTTTGTTAGAATTATTTTTCCCTATCTGTTAAAATAAAGTGGTGGGGGAAGGTTAGATTTGTTTTTATTTAAATGTTAACAACTCCGGACTGGTTGATCGGAATTCAACAAGAGATGTCTCGTTTAAAAGAAAGTTTCTTACTCTATATTATACCACATAAACAATAAAAATAAGCATTTCAACGTAGACGCTAGGGGGCGCTGTCTTGCAATTTAACAAACATTACGAGTTTTTTCAAAAAAATTAAATGCGAGAGTATATCTAATTTTAGCCGATACTAAAGAGTAATCAAAGCTTAAAAAGTCAGTGAAAACCGCATCTTGATACCTTTTTTCAAACAAAAGTTATTAGCAAAATTAAAATAAATACGAAAAAATAAGCCCTTAATTACCTTATTTTTCTAATACGGTATCCCTAGTCCTCTTGATTATGACCATTCTAATAAAAAATAAGATAAAGAAGAGACTATTTATTAAAAAAATCGACAATGTACCAGAATACCATAATACTAGGAGTATTAATATCTAATAATTAAGATATCAATGAGAGTGACTAAGAAACGATGCCTCAGTGAATTCATGGTAGGCTTTGGAAAAGTTGCTTTTAAAGAGATAGTTTAAACTCAAATTATTACTATATCAACATTTTGATAGTATCAGCAGCGTTTTTTATCTTTTAATTGCTTTTCTAAAAATGCCTTTCTTCAAAAGAGAAAAAACGCTGCTAAGACCCTTGGCTAAGACTATCAAAATGTTGATTTAACATTTTGACGTTTATACTATTACGTCAAAAGCAACTTTTTTCCAAAGCCTACCATGATTTCAATGAGGCGTCGTTTCTTATTCACTGTCAGTGATATCTTAATTATTAGATATTAATACATCTGGTATTATGGTTTTCTGGTATATTGTCGATTTTAGAATAAACTAATCGTTTCTATCTTATTTTTTATTAGAATGGATATAATCAAGAGGGGTACTGTAACCGTGTTAAGTGGCCCGGAGACGGTCAATAATATTGTCAATAAAATTGATGATTTTAATTGCAATTGCGATTGATGGAGGTTCAATGAACACATGAATACTTAGTTGTTAAATGAATTTCTTACCAATCGGGTGGTTTATTATTTATATAATGATGCCAAATATAGATATGGCCTTTCTGGTCTTAACTGTAGTTGTTTGCAGATAAAAAAAGCCAAGAAAAAAGCGAAGAGGAGGAGACGCTGGTCAAAAGAGTGGTATAAATTGAGAAGCTGCTTTACCCATGAACATTTGCTACAATTTCTGCGAAATAGTGAACCTGAGGATTAATGTTTTCGGGTTCCACAGAGCCCTGCGGCGTATAACCCGTGTCCGTCATTGTTGCCGTCTGGTAAACATAGTAAACAACTGACCGAACGATTATCAATATCCCAATTACACGTTAAATTGCGATGTGTCAATGATCTCCGTCAAATGCTATCAATCTCCGTCAATCGATTGACAATGGCGTCAATCTCTTTCTACACGATCAATTAGGTGCATCAATGAGTACCATTGACAATATTATTGACAATATTATTGATCGTCGCAATATTACTGTCGCATTTATTTTTTTTAAACGCGCAATGTTTGTGAAATTGTAAGATAGCGCCCCCTAGGAACTACATTCAAAAGCAAAAAATTATTGTTTATACGCTATAATATAGAGTAAGAAACGCTCTTTTAAACGAGCCATCGTTTGTTGGATTCCGTTCATCCAGTCCGGAGTTATTAATATTTAAATAAAAACAGATCTAACCTTCCCCCACCACTTTATTTTGGCAGATAGGGGAAAATGGTTCTAACAAAAAATATTCAAAATGTACTGAAGATTATGAATCTATTATTCATGGTACCTGTTATCTAAGCAAAATTGTGTAAAAACTCTTTTTTCGCATTCTTATAGCAGGTGCGCACTCTAGCGGCCGTTCTACAAAGTTGAAAATAATTTCCAGCAATTTTTCATAGCTTTTTTAGTCACAAATATTTTTTTTCCGCAGGTACTACGGCTAATACTTTCCGAGATACAGACGAGAGCTATTCTTAGTGGGTACCCTGTACATTTTTTATCCAAGTGAGACACCCCTCGTTCAAAGTGTCCGAATTTGGAAACAAAGTAAAAATGAGACAAAAATGTCGCAGAAATGTATTGAATTTCTCGCGACTTTGTCGTAAAACATGAATGTTTCTGTCTTGGCGCTGTTTTGTCTGCTTGGTCTGGACCCGGCTTAAGAAGAAGTAAATTTTCTATGAGCAAATGCTTCTTTATTATTTACAGGGATGGCTCTTGGCTATATAACACCTTGTACAAAATAAAGAAAAGTTTAAGAAAATTAAATGAATAGAACGTTTAAATTTAGCCTGAAAGAATCATATTACCTGGATTTTTAGATTCGCCTCCGAATAAAGTCAACGCCAGCGCTCTCTTTATGTAATCGTGCCCATAGATAGATGGAGCTATCGACGCTATAATACGGTCCGCTATCCGATGATCTTTACTCATCTTAATGATAGCGCTGATATCGTCGTCGGTCAGCGACTGCACGATCTGTTTGCAGTCCTTCACTACTAAGTGATTGGCGAAAATGACGGTGGAAAAAACGGGAAAGCCGTAGTCCACGTTCAGGGATCCTTCGTACGTGTTGGTGTAAATTCCCGTGACGTCCACCTCGTCTCCGGGCTTGCAACGGTCGCAAAGGTCGGCCAGCAAGATGCAGTCTTTGGACCTGGGGACTCTGCCTGCAGGAATCCGGCCTGGAGACTCTTGGAGGGTGATTTTTTGGTAGTTCCTGTAGATGGTTTGTTCCATATTTATCTGTAAAATATATTAAAAGTTTTTCCATAGAATATTATACAGGCTCTAATGAGAACGACAGTTGGTGTTGAAATGATTTTGTGAGTTATATTTAGCTTAATTTAGAGCATTTTTTAAAAATATAGTTCTACAGAGTGTCTCCAAAGATGATGTATGTTTTTTTGTAATGGAATATCCTATATATTAAACGAATTTCGGATTCTAGGAGAAAAATAAAGGTGAATTTCATTAAGGAAGTATATGACGTAATTTTTTTTTATACAGGGTGGCGCACTTCATTCGCCTCGGTTGATTATACGAAAACGGAAAGATGTAGAAACAAAATATTTTGGGTATATGTGGGTAGGTAATGTCCACAATTTAAAATTATTTTGAAATGTACAGGGTGTTTCAGAACTAAGATCCATACCAAAGTTATATTTTTTCTTATGGAACACCCGGTTTTTATTTCATTTTTGGATTCTTGGGCCCAAAAACAGGCATTTATTATAAGGGTTAAATATGTTTAAAATCTTTGGTTTTTGAGATATTTAAAGATATTTAAATTTGCATGATACAATAGAATAGACTATTAACACCATGTACATTACTTTTCAGAATTAATTCTTGTGCTGAGTTTAAAGGTAGAGAAATAAACTTTACTGAAAAATGTTATTCCTCCCTTAAATGTATACAGGGGTATCAAAAAGTCCTGGTCTATTTTAAATATCTGTTTTACATAAAAACTTCGTTATTTTAAATGCAACACTATGTATTTTTTTAAATAAGTCGAAGCAGATTTAAATGCTCTTTCAAACTATATTAGGGTTCCCTATACCTATCTGGCTCAGATTTTGAATAAAAAGCGATTTCTCAATAAAATTGTAATCAAGATGGCTAGTGTTGTGGTAAGTTTCTAGTGACAGTTAGTAGCTATTTTCAAAATCGAAATTAGTTTACGGACTTATTTAAATTTATACCAGTTTACTTTTATTTAATTTACCTACAATAGTTTAATAAATAATATTTATTAAATATGTGTTTATTATTCTATCAAGAAAAACGAAGTAGTTCTTTGAATTATTTTATAATGACTTGTCGATATATGGATTTTCTATAAAAGAGCCAATTACGGCAAATTCATTTTCTTCACTTCCAACGACGAGTTTCTGCCTAATAGGATTTTTATAAACCACACTACCAGCTCTGCGATATAGGACAAGAAGTTTTTCAAAGAAACGCATATCAGGAAGATTCCTATTTGGATATCTTTGAGCATAAGCCCTTGAGGCCAAGAAGCAATTTTCCTCACAAAATATCACTAGTAACATATCTATTCGTTCCGCCAGCAGATACTACTTTATTTTTCATGATAAAAAATGAATACTTACTTATTAAACTATTGTAGGTAAATTTAAGTAAATTGTTATAAATTATAAATAATAATGTCAATAAACTAATGTCGACTTTGAAAATAGATACTAACTGTCACTAGAAAATTGCCATGGCGACACCAGCCATCTTGATTGCAATTTTATTCAAAATCTGAGCTAGATAGGTATAGGAAACCCTAATATAGTTTGAAAGAGCATTTGAATCTGCTTCGATTTATTTAAAGAAATACAGGGTGTTGCATTTGAAATAACAACGTTTTTATATAAAATATATCCTTAAAATAGACCAGCAATTTTTGATACCCCTGTATACATTTAAGGAAGGAATAATATTTTTCTGTAAAGTTTATTTCTCTACATTTAAACTGAGCACAAGAATTAATTCTGAAAAGTAATGTACAGGGTGTTAATAGTCATTCTATTGTATAGCATGCAAATTTAAATATCATTAAATATCTAAAAAACTAAAGATTTTAAACATATTTAACTATTACAATAAATGCCTTTTTTGGGACAAAGAATCCAAAAATGAAGTAAAATACCGGGTGTTCCATAAGAAAAAATATAACTTTGGTATGGATCTTAGTTCTAAAACACCCTGTATATTTATTTATTTTGCACATTGTCTCCCCACATATACCCATAAAATATTTTGTTTCTACATCTTTCCGTTTTCGTATAAACAACCGAGGCGAATGAGGTGCGTCACCCTGTATATTTAACATTTTCTAAAAGTACCATGAGTACCTATATTGATAAATAATGATGAAATTTGAATTATAAAAACAAACAAACTGATAGATAATTTTTTTTGCATCTAATTCTCTTACAATACGAATGCACTGTTTGCGCTACGAATGCACTATTTAAATTAAACTAATTTAATGCTAGTAATTATCTAGAATTAATTTTTAGACACCCTGAATAAGCTAGAATTATTTTGAACAGGTCCCAACACTCAAAATTTTTAAAAAAGTGATCATTTAGGTATAACATAATGCGTCTAATAACGTGAATAACCCAGAACCCAGTGTTTGAAGTTTAAATCGCCCTATACAATATATGTATATACAAAAATTTTTAAAATGTACACTAGTGTCTGCATGATATTTTGATGAGAAAAACAACCTGATAAAAAGTTTTTTTAGAATAATGGGTCCTACCCTTGTCCTACATTGTATAATGTAAAAAATAGTAAAGTTAACATTTTTTAAAAGTTAAAATCCCAAACCAAAAATATAAATGGCAGAAATTTTGATAGGTATGATTATCAAAATAAACAACAATTTTAATTTTTTTAAGATTAACAAAGAAAACAAGAAAATTAAAAAAAGAGTATAAAAATTAATGACCATAATTTTTAAAACCTCAAATTGAAAAGGTAAATACAAGTTATATAGTGTAGCCACAAAATATTAAAACTCTAATAGTAACTCTTTCACCAGAACTTAAGTTTACTAAATAAATTTATTAACTTACAGTAAAGGGACCACTGCTTTGACATTCAGGACAAGATCCAGGCTGCACCTCATGATCCTGAGTTTGTGTAAAAGGCCCCAGAATGAATCCACACTTGTTACAATCAAACTTCACCACTGATAATTGAGGTAAGACTCCTGTAGTTGCTGTTACAACCACAAGAGTTCTAACCAGTTGATTTACATGTAACTTCCTGCAAATAAAACAATAATTAATAAATATTTTAGAAATATATTATCAAAATTCATACCTGAATGTTCTTAGTTCTTCAATAAGGGGCAAATCTGCTATTCTAACATGAATTTCATTTGTTACACGATCATAACTAGGATACATTGATAGAACAATGTCTTTTGCTACTTCATCAAATATTTCCAACATTTGGAATGGTGCTTCTGGTAAGAAATAAGCTAATACATGTTCTTTATTAGCTAAATGTGGAAATTCTACTACTATACTTGACTAAAACAAAGACAAATACAAATTTCAAATAAAATAGAAAGTACACAAATTTTACCTGATTATTTTCACACATTCTTCTGATTTTTTCCTTGTAAATATATTGTCCCTTACTAGTAACATATGTTCTCAGAAAATTCTTAAATCTATTAGCAATTTCAGTTCTAGGTCCCATCATTACAACCCAGTCTTTCACAGAATATCCTTTTGTATCTTCCAAGTTTTCTATTGATTCTATCATTTCCTATATAGCAAAATAAATACAATAAATTACCAAATTTATATAGTTGTAGTTATTGTAAATTTATTTTTACCTCATCTTCTAGTTCTCCTGTAGCTGCTTTTTCAGCCATCCTTCTTTGACGTTTAGGATCCTCATCATCTTCTCTATCATAAAATAATTCACGGTCGTCTCTTCTCAAAATACCCATCTCTCGATCCCGTTGTCTCAGTTCTGATTCTGCCGCTAATCTCTCTGATACTGACATGTTATCGTAATCTTCCTCATCTAAAATACGATCATCATACTGGTCCAAATGAGGCATTGGACGATAATCACTAAAACATGTTGATGAAGAAACTTTAAGTTATTATTTAATCAACTATAAGTACTTTTCCATATTGTCTCCAAATAGTTCCTCTCCATCTTCTTCTTCAATTTCGGCATCCATATCCCCTAATAAACCCTCATCTTCAAATTGTTCCATATCTTGGGCTGGTGAGGACATATTAGAACGAGGAGTTGGAGCAGGAGATTCATCTTCAGGCTTTAAAATAAATAATTTACAGATATTTAATGATACTAAAAGCTAAATAATATTATAGTTACCCTTCTAGACATTTTTCAGCACTTTGTGTTTTTTGTTTTTATAAAAGAAACTATTTAATTAATGAATTACTGATATTAAACGCCAAGAAACTAAACTAAATAATTATTTCCAAACTGTTCCAAACACACTTTGGCGCCAAATTTGACACTAAAGTTTGAGGTTGGAAAATCTTGTTCTTTAATTTTTTGAAATGTTTAGCATCCCGCTAAACGGATGAATAAAACATATCTCCTAATCGCCCGATCAATAGATTTAACAAAAATAAAGCCCAACAAAATGTTGAAGAACTAGTCTCTTAATATTTAGAACATTTCAAAGAGTAAAAGGTAACATTTGTAAAGATTATTCAATAGACTATAAATATGTCCTATAGTCCTAAACCTTTGGTAATATCTGGTAATATGCTTGATTAATAGACAAGGGTAATCTATACATATAAATACATTCTAAACTTTTTGATAATAAGCTACGACGGTTCCCTGTAGCATTTTCATAGAAAGTCAAAAGGCTCCTTTTTACAAAAAAAATACTAATAACTTCTTAATAATTCTCTTTGTAACCATAGCCTTAAAAATATATTTTTGAGTGATATATGTTTCTTCGAGGGTAAATCAGAAATAGATCGTTACATAGAATCTAAAAAGACTATATTTCTTTAACTATAATCTCTACTTTTGAATATCTTCTTTACTGCTATGTTATAGAAACTAGATAGTTTTGGTGACATTCACATTGTTTTCAACGGTAAACGATAATAAGAGCTAGTTCTTCAGTATTCTTTCAATTTTGTTTTATATAACCGGGCGATTAATTTTGTTTATTCCTTTGAATAAAAATTATAATCATCCCATAATCGGACGATTAATATATTTTATTTATTCGTATAGCCGATGACTATCAACATCTATTTTCTTAAAAAATGTTTTCTGTGGTAGTGTAGTGTGGAGTGATATTTTTATTTTTATTTGGGGTTAAAATGTAAAATGTATATTTGTTTATAATTTAAAAAATAATAATATAAAAGAAACCTGGACATATAACATATTAGCAAAGTCTGCATATATTGTGATATATAGACTTTCATATTAGGCTCAAAAAGTTACTTAGTTTGCCGATAAGATTTTACAGAAATTCTCAAATAGGTATTTGGAAATTATGGATCCGGAAGCAAATAAAAAGGAAATATTTGTATACTTAGATTTTGATGGAAAATTACCAACCGAATTCTTGAAGAGCAAAATGTTTATTCGTATAGCTGACTTGCAAACAAAAAATCCATTAGTTCAAGTAAATGATATGGTATTTAAAGGTAATTTTGAATTGTCCTGAAGTTTTTATACTCTTATTCCTATACCCTAACATTTTTAGGCACTTATGAACATAGCATAGGCACAAATATGTTTTTTACTAAATCTCAAACAGATATAGCTGATAAGCCTTTTCAACCTGTAAGTGGCTGCAGTCTGGAGCTACTTAATCTACAAACTAAAGTTTTGAATTGTAAACAAATGCGTGTATTATCTGAAAATAGAGAAATGCCACAAAAAAACAACAAAATTCAATACAATTTCAATTGGGATTATAAAGAACTGTTAAAGAAATTTGAAGATGGAACACTGGATTTAAAAGATATGGTAGATATAATTGAGGCTTTTGTCATAATATACTGTTTTATTGTTATTTATATAGATATCAAAAGATGAATATTCAGAAGATGAAAAGCAGGAATCTGAAATAGAAAATGAAGAGATTGAAGACACAGTTGTTGATAAATTAAACGAAGAACATACATCAGAAGAGTTAGCTATAAAACCAGATGAAATAGAAACAAATAGATTACGTCATGCATATGAAAATTTAATGATGTTAGCAAGAAAACCTTTACAAAGAAAACAAATTGTAGAAAATGTGGAGTGCATAGAAGGATATAGTAAAAGTTTTAATTTTAAAAATATTGAATGTAAGGTAAGTTTAACTATAACATAATTTAATAAAATATATGTAATTTACATTTGTAGGTATTGGAAAGACCATTTTTCTCATACTTTAAGAACAAGGACAAAATTGACATAGATAGGTGTGTCCAGTTTGGTTTATTGAAGCCTTCAGATGACATTCCAAGAAGTTTAACTGAGGAGGAAGAAAAACTAATTTTGAAAATCGAAAATATGGGATTTCTAAATTTGGAAGCAAGATACTCCATATTTGTTTCGTATGTGGATCAGTTAGAAAAAGAAATTATGTTAAACACTGCTGAAAAAAATGCAGCTAAAGATATTTATGGAAATACTCCATTGGAAACTTTGAATATATTTAAAAAATTAGTTTGTTCTTTAGAAAATAGAATACAAGAAATAAAAAGTGCAGCATAGGAACTTAATTATATTTATGATTTCCTGAACTTGAAATAATTTTTCTATGGTATGGATTTACTTATTTTGCAAAAATGAAATTGAGATAAAATAGGAAAATAAAAAAAATGTGTGTGCACTAGCTGCACATATTTGAAGTGAAACTTCTTACTAAGAGCTATTAAACTGAAGGATCTGAAGGACATGTTTGAGAAAGTGTAGTTTGAAATGTTGAAAAAGTAATAAATTAAAAATTACTAAATAATTTGATTCACAAAATTTGTATTAAAAGTCTGTCTGAGCACTCCATTCGGGTATCTCTGAGGACTCCACGTGCAAAGTTTGATTCCAGTTGACCCATAATTAAGAAAAATCCTGATGGTTTCTTCTATTTAGGGGCATCGGTTGGACATGTCGAGGCCTTATATATATGTCGAGGCCTTATATAGACGGGCTACAAGATGGCGTCATCTTGTAGCCCGTCCCCAATGCTCTCTTTCACTATATTTTGGAATTAGTATAATTGAATAAAGCAATTAATTCTAGAATTTTCTGTTATCTCACTTTCGAAAAATTTGAAGTCGTTCTTAAGAAAATAAATAAAAACAAAAAAGCCCAGAATAAAAATATGCACTTTATTTTTAATACGTCACACCTGGCATGTTGAAAAGCGGCAACGCGGCCCACCACCACCTCCACACAAGGCCATTCAACCTTTTCCAATATGGCGAAGATAGAAGTGCTGTATTTGGCGCGTATTTTAAAATCTGTTTTATTTCCAAATAGACATTTTTCACAGGAATGTCTGGTTAGATTACGTAATATTTAACTCATTTTTTAATATACAGGGAGTCTAAAGTTCTCTACATAAGTATGGAATTTTTTGTATTATTACTTTTATGAAAACATCAGTTGGTTACTTTTTAAAAAAAGGTCTGCTTTCTAAGAAAATAGGTAGTGTTAAAATATTCAAACTTGAGGTAGCATATATAGGGTGTTCAAAATCAGCGGAAAAAGAAATAACCAGAAATATATGACAGAAAATAGCAATATAAACGAAATATTCAATTGCAAACACTTACCTACCATAGTTTAGAATTTACTGAACGTTTGATAAATATATATTATGAACAGTATAGGAAGTTACTTGTCTTAGTAAAAGCCTTGGTAAATGCTCTTGGAATTATAAACTACACTGGCTTGGGTCAAAAAATATGGAATATTTTTTCTATGTTTTGATAGAAAAAAAAACTAAATACCTTTTTGGGGGTTCGTAAGTACTTACGCTTAGCTTAGTTTTCTTTACTCTTTCTCTTTACATAGGGTATTGTCTTTGTGGTAAAGACGTCATTCCTTTTTTTTGCATAGTTCTTCAATAAAATATTGGATATTCTGAACAAGATGGATTTAATAATAAATTCTGATGTATGTGAGGGGCAATTGTGACCTAAAAAAAGACTTACATCCAGGCCATTTATATTTTCAAATGTTAATGTTGTCAATATCTTTCTGTGATCCTTTTGATGTAAAAAGCTTGATTCTTTTTCCAATATCTTACTTATAGTGAGGTAAGTGTAAGCAGTAGCCATCCCCACTACATCCTCACTAGGGTAACAGAGGCTTTGGCCTTTTTGAGGCATATTTAAGGCACTTCTTATCCGAGAACTACTAGTAGGAGTGAAATTATCTCTTTTAATAGCTGTCAACCATTTTTTTACGAAGCTCATCATTTTTGGGGAATATAAAAGCAGAAACCTTGGGACCCCCTCTATAATTCCCGTAATAATTTGGAACAGAGCATGTAAAAGGCATGCTACAATAAAATGTTAATACCTACCCTTTAATACCTATCTTTTGATTATTGTAAGAGTAACCATTATAAAGTACTATGCAGACTGGCGGCGAAGGCTTTTTACTCATTTAGGTGTAATATCTTGATAAATACTAGATCTTACCTTAAAATAATTAATAATAGAGGAGTACGACAAGCACGAAAGTTTGTATTTCCCTATGTGGAATGTCTGGTTTGGATTTTTATTACTCTGTTATTTTATCACAATTTTCTGATCACACCATACACTGAACACTAAGAACTAAACAAACGTGTTGCAGAAGCACAACAAACTAGAGATAATTAATTATTTCTGGTATGCAATCGGAACGAGAAACCACTACCGGCTCTTCAGGTTAAAAGATAATTTAATAATGCGCTGCCTTCGCCGCCATATTTGCCTTGCCCATATCATGTTGATTGGCCTTGAGTTGAGGTGGTGCTGGTCAAATCAAATCGCAATGTTGCCAGTTGTTGGCTGGCGCACGAGCACGGTTCTGCAATGTGATTGGGCGTATTTTTCATACGTCATCAATTGGCACTTTAAAATTATTTCAAATTAAAGCAATTTTAAGGGCCTATAAAAAAATTATTCAATGTCATGGAACTAATTTTTTTGGATAAATATACTGAAAATAGTCTTCTATTTCAGATTTTGTCCTTGAATATATTTTATTTTTTGTGAAAGAGCCCAATCGAGCCACATTTTTTCTTCAATGTCATCCTTAGTCCCACCCCACCGATGAAGATGTAAACAAAACGTAGTATCTAAATTTGCAGGGTGGGACCGTGGGTACCGTCGTGCGTCGCTCATATAGCCTACCCTAAAAATAAATTCCCCACTACATGTGCCTAAAATTATATAATAAATTATCTGACTCATTTAGACAAATTGAAAACAAGAACTTCTTCAGGAATAAATTAAAAAAAATGCTGATTAAATTGGAATCATACACACTGGATGACTATTTGAATATAGAATTGTAAATTAGAAATATGTTTTATTATACTGTTACGGATTCCGTGGGTCCACTATTTAAACTCACGATAAAATACTTAACGAATTTATTTGTTTCACTCTGTACACAACTTATACTATTTACAACACAACTTATGCAACTACTATTACTCTAACGGTATTTCGCGGTATTTTCAAACTTCAGACTTAGACTTCAAACTTCAAACTTTTAAACTTGTCCAACTGTCAAAGCGCGGGCCTTATATACCCCCTGGCGGTTGTTTCTAGATTTTTCTAAAGAATTCTATAATTTTCTTTACTTTCTGGCGAATGCGCCAGGTTCCTTCCACATTGCGATTTTTTAGCAGTATGCAGTTTGCAACCAGTAATACACCTTGACATTGCCCCTTCTCAAATTTGATCGTCCCGATCAAGGTTTCCTGTCTGGTATCTCTTCAATCGATCCAGATGAACTACTTTCATCTTACTTCTAGGGCTGCGTTGAATCCGGTACACAACATCATTTATCCTCTTGATGACTGTATAAGGACCTTCCCATGCTGGAGTTAACTTTGGGGACCTCCCTTTCTTGCGCTGTGGGTTATATAACCATACCATATCGTCCTGTTGAAATCCCGTAGAATTAGCTCTGAGGTCGTAACGAGCTTTCATCCGGTCACTGGCTAGCGTAATCTTACTTCTCACGGCCTTATGAATTCCCAATAACCTTTCCTTCAGTTCATCCGCGTAGTCCTCTACGTTCGTGGTGCTGTCGTCTGGTGATCCGAACACCAAGTCACAAGGCAACCGTAATTCTCGACCAAATAAAATCTTCGATGGTGAAAGTCCGGTGGTGTTGTGAACTGCACTTCTATATGCCATTAGGAATAGTGGTATATGCTGATCCCAATCTCTTTGATGTTCATCCACCATTTTCGAGAGATGTTCTTCAATGGTCTTATTGAATCTCTCGACCATCCCATCAGACTGCGGATGTAAAGCTGTTGTCCTAGTCTTGTGAATACCAAGCAGATCACACATCTTCTGGAACAGTCTTGACTCGAAGTTCCTTCCTTGGTCAGTGTGAAGCTCTAAAGGAATTCCAAATCTACTGAAGACATTATTGACTAATACTTCAGCTACAGTCGATGCTTCTTGGTTTGGAATGGCAAAAACTTCTGGCCATTTACTGAAATAATCCATCGCCACTAAAACGTACTTGTTGCCCTTGTGCGTTTCAGGGAATGGGCCTGCAATGTCAACAGCGATTCTTTCGAATGGCAGTCCAACGTTATATTGTTTCATTTTTCCCCTAGATCGAGTGCTTGGTCCTTGGCTGGCTGCACAAATTTTACATTGTCGACACCATTTCTTGACATCTTCGCAATAATCCACCCAGTAAAAGCGATCTCTCAGCTTGCTCAAGGTCTTGTTTACCCCAAGATGGGCTCCAGTTTTACCACCGTGAATTTCTTCCAATACCTGGGTAACTTTCTTCCTTGGTACCAGTAACTGAGTTGTTACTGTGCTGCCATCCGCACTTTCCCATGTGCGCTTTAACAATCCATTCTCAATAACCAGTGAATTCCACTGAGCCCAGAGAGCTTTGAAAACGAGCCCTCTGTCCGCAATATCCTGCCACGGTGGTCTCTCGCCGTTACCTTCCTTGAGCCGTAGTATTGCTCCGATGTCTGGATCTTCCATTTGATCTTTCCTCAATTGTGTCGTCGTCCACTGTTCATCGGTTCCAAGTTTAAACTCCTTATCATGACAGTGCCTTCACGTTGTTCCGTTTTACAGCAGTGCTTACAATCGGTTTGACAGGGTCTTCTGGATAAACCGTCTGCGTTACCATGCATTTTTCCAGCACGATGTTGGATGGTAAAGTGATACTGTTGGAGCTTCTCGAGCCATCGTGCTATTTGACCTTCAGGTTGTTTCATCTCCATAAGCCACTTGAGAGCCGCATGATCTGTCCTAATTAAAAATTCTTGGCCGTACAGATATTTATGAAAATGATCAACTGCCTTCACAATTGCTAGCAGCTCCTTCCGGGTAACGCAGTAATTCCTTTCTGGTTTGGATAGAACTCGACTGTAATATTCTATCACTCGTTCTTCGCCATCTTGCACTTGTGATAGCACTGCACCTATGCCGATATTGCTGGCGTCGGTATCCAGGATATACCTCCCTTGTTGTTGCGGGTAGGCTAGAATAGGACTTGAACATAAAGCCGCCTTAAGTCTTCCAAAGGCTACATCACAATCGGTGTTCCATTCGTAGCCGACTTCATCACCTGTAAGTCTATGTAAGGGTGCAGCTATATTGGCAAATCCCTTGACAAATCTTCTGTAATAAGTGCATAAACCCAGGAAACTTCTAAGTTCATGTTTGTCGCGAGGTTTAGGCCAATCCTTGATTGCAGCGATTTTCTTCTTATCGGTGTAAATTCCGTCTGCCGAAACTACATGACCCAAGAATTCCACTTGTCGCTGGAATAAGCTACACTTCTTCGGGTTCAAGTACAGGTGGGCATTCCGTATGCGGCCGAAGACTTCTTCTAAATTTCGCAAATGCTCCTCAAGACTTGATGATTCTTCGATTACTCCCTCTTCTAACATCTTATCTACCATTGTCTCCATTTCTTGTTGTTTGGAAAGGGGCACCCTTCTAGGACGTTGTCGAATCGGCTGAGCATGACCAGTATTAATCCGGTGCTTCACAAAATCCGTTCTTCCACTGTTATTTTTCTCAAAAATACCGCCATGCTTTCGCAGGAACTGCTTAGCCTTCTGTTTCTCCTCATATGTTAGGTGATCCCATGGCTGTTCTAGATGTTTTAGTGTTTCTTTGGATGCCATTTGTGTAACAGCTGACGACACTTCATCACATCGGGTGACACTTCTTACAGGTTCGCAGATGGCTATCTTGTCACCTTTTTGAATCTTGACACAATTCGGGAAAACATTCGCAATTCTGATCGGTATATTCTTGTCGGTGTTCACCAATGACTTTCCTACTAAGTACCTATCTTGTTTCTTGTCGCCACTTTTTACCAGTCCAACACAGCACCCAGCGATTTTCTCCACTTTACCGAATACGATCTTCTCGGTATTACCAGGTATCACCACAGTTTCCGCTGATCTTACATCCATTCTGCCTGGTCCCTCGTCTGGAGATAACATGAACTCTTCATATCCAATATTTAAGATATTTCTCTGGTGATCGAACGAAAATCCATGTTGACGAATCATATCCATGCCCAAGATGAAGTCATCTTCAATATCTGCCACTAAGACGCTATGCTGAAACTTCAAATTTCCTAACTTCAGTTCGACGATAGCCTTTCCCCGTGCAACGGCCATTTCCCCCGTAACTGTACGTAAACACACTCTTCTTCCCAGAGACATCAGCTTCAATCCTTGCACTGAGTTAGCCCGCACCAACGATACCATAGCGCCAGTATCCACAGTCATTCGAATTCCCTTTCCATTGACTTTCCCGTCGATCACCAAGCTGTCAGCGGTTGTTCCTAGACTCCTAATGGAAAAAATCCTGGGGGCTCTGTTCTCCCCAGTCAATACTCGCCCCTTAGTATTGACTGATTTTAGTTTTCCTGGTGCCTACGTTCTCTGGATGCTGAACGGGATCGCATGAACGCGGCAATCCCGTTTGATGTGGCCATTCCTGCCACATCTATAGCACCTTATGTCCTGGGATCTTCTCTGGTTCTCTGTCTGGTTATTGTTGATTCCCTTGTTTATTAGTAGCTCACATAGTTTGTCGAATTTTCTACACATCTCCTCCAAACTTCTGTGGGTACTCTCGGGCTGTTCCTCTACCGTACCGATCTTATCTTCGGTCTAGGGATGGCGCTAAAAGCAGCTTCAATTTCCAGCGCCCTGACCAGTGCTTCGCTGCTGGTAGAAAATCGGGATATTTGCAGCGCCCTCTGTAATTCGTTGTCCCTCAGTCCGCTGATAAAGCACTGAGCAGCGAGTTCCTCCCTAAATCCTTCCGGTGCTTCAGGATACGCTAGGTGTACCAGCCGACGTAAGTCTGCTTCAAATTCCTGCAGACTCTCTCCGGACCTCTGCAGGCGTGTCTTGATCTGTGCCTGGTAAAGTTGGCGTCGATGTTGGTCGCCATCTTCTGTCCAGTGCAGCAACCAATGTTTCGTATTCCTGCTGTAGGGCTGCAGGAATAGTTTGCAGCAGTTCCAAGGCAGGGCCACGCAGCGCGATGACAAGTGCCGCTGCTTTGTCCTGGTCGGACCATCCGTTGGCAGCGGCGGCTGCTTCAAACTGACGGTGGTACATTGTCCATGTCGTTTGTCCATCGTAGGTCGGGGCCTTAAGGTTCGCTGTTCCTTGAACGCCAGGTGTCTTTACTTGTACCTTGGTCTTCTGTAGGTCCATCTCCAATTTCTCCATTTCCTGCTGAAGGCGTTCCTCCAGATCTTCTACGGCTTCTTGAAGGCGGATTTCTTGCTTTTCTAAAGTTTTCTTAAGACGGTCCTGATCTTCTTGTCTTTCTTTCTGGCGGCGCGTTTCTATATCTTCTAAAATTTCCCTCCATTCATTATTCTGACGAATTTCTAAATTGGCTAAAATTTTCTCAAGCCGGTCCTGTTCTTCTTCTTTGTCTTGTTGTCGTTGAATTTTCAAATCTTCGAAAATTTTGTCTTGATTTTCCAGAATTTTCAGTAGGCAGGTAGTCGGTGGTTGTTCTTCTGCTTTCTCTTTTCGCAGCTTCTCTTGTTCTTCTGCCTTTTCTCTTCTCATATTCTCCATAAAATCGCCTAATAGTTTGCTTACTTCCTCCATTTTCTTCGCTTGTTCCCTTGTACCAACCATAAAAATACTCTAATCCGGTCCAAAAATCTTCCAATCCACTTAATTTCTTCTTAAAATCTTCTTGAATCGCACTTCCGACACCAATTGTTACGGATTCCGTGGGTCCACTATTTAAACTCTGTACACAACTTATACTATTTACAACACAACTTATGCAACTATTACTCTAACGGTATTTCGCGGTATTTTCAAACTTCAGACTTAGACTTCAAACTTTTAAACTTGTCTAACTGTCAAAGCGCGGGCCTTATATACCCCCTGGCGGTTGTTTCTAGATTTTTCTAAAGAATTCTATAATTTTCTTTACTTTCTGGCGAATGCGCCAGGTTCCTTCCACATTGCGATTTTTTAGCAGTATGCAGTTATGCAACCAGTAATACACCTTGACAATACATACAGGGTGATTCCTGTAAGTCGGTCATGCTTTCGAGGAATGATAGGGGACGTCGAAATATTAATTTTGATATAGCATACTATGGGTCGGAAATGCCTCTTACGCAAGATAGAGGGTGTTAAAGTTTTTGAAAAATTAAAGATATTCTTTAATAGTTTTTTAACAGTTGATCCTTATAAAATGTCATTATAGGAATCTACCAAACAGAGACACTTTAAATGTAAAAAGAAGAGGTTTTCGTTTCAACCAGGGGCGTAGGTGTGATACGCATCGTGTAATGTTTTCAAAAAAAAAAATAGTACGCCACTGATAAAAATAAAAATTTCGGAGTTTTTTTTTATATTCTCTGTTTATTTCCAAGAAAAAATGTCTCATGCAACTTTCTCCTATCTAACACCATTTTGTCACAATTTAAAAATAAATAAATTTTTTAATGAAAATCTTAAATACAGCGAATTCTTGTAACTAGAGAGCAGAAACACATGTGCATCGTTAGCTCCCTTCGTCTTGGGTAACTTTAGTACTTTTTACTATTAGCTCTTATAAAATTATAAATTTAAACTAGAATTTTTTTTATTGTTAATAATAAAATTCGTAGTTTTAAGGTAGTTATAATAATTTGCATATTTAAGGTTCTCATTAAAAAATATTTATTTTTAAATTGTGACAAAATAGTGTTAGATAGAAGAAAGTTGCAAGAGACATCGAAATTTTTATTTTTATCAGTGGCGTACTATTTTTTTGAAAATATTACCCGATTCGTATCACAGCTACGCCCCTGGTTGAAACTAAAACCTCTTCTTTTTACATTTAAAGTGTCTGTTAGGCAGACTCCTATAATAAAATTTTATAACGATACCTTCAACTGTTGAAAAACTATTAAAGAACATCTTTAATTTTTCAAAAACTTTAACACCCTGTATCTTGCGTAAGAGGCATTTCCGACCAATAGTGTGCTATATCAAAATTAATATTTTGACGCCCCCTATCATTCCTCGAAAGCATGACCGACTTACAGGAATCACCCTGTATATATTAATGATTTACTTTAAAGTTAGCATTAGTTTTTTCCCCCTAGTTAACGCTGTTTCACTTTGTTATACAATTTTGAAATAAAGATGTATTATTATTATTACCCACCAAATTTGGTCGCGATCGGAAGACATCAACTCTTGACGTTTCTTGCGTCAAAGTTAACTCTCACAGTGACATGTGTATTACACTAAATCCGTTCTGTAGGGAAAATATTTGTTACATTTTCATATTTAGATATTACCAAATAATAATAACTCAAGCAGGCCATCAGTGTATCATAATAACCTAGTCACAGTAACCCAGTTAGAATAACTACTGTTACAATTTATTATTTTGATGAGCGTTGCAATATTATATAAACATCAATGTTACCATGTCGCAGATTCTTCACTAATAAAGTATTGAATAAACGAACGTCCAACGGGACACAGGAGTATTATTTCGAACAACTTTACACATGTATCGTACACGGTCAAGCTGGCCTTGGTCCAATCTATCGACATAAGAAGTTTCGTTTAAATCGGACGATTTTTTCTAAGCCGTAGCCTGTCTGTGCCACCTTTCCTCTCATGTAACGTGTCGTGTCACGGCCTTGAATTTTTACTTCTAGCGGGCGTAAAGAAGTTTCCCTTCAAAAATACACATTACAAAATTTTACGCGGATTACTCATAATAGAAATATGCTAAAAAAGTAGATTGCAAATTTAAAAGGCAACTGTGGCGCCTTTTTTCAATTGTATATGATTCTCAGCAATCAACATCAACTCATTTGAAGAAAACTCAAACATTCTATAGGGATAAACAAAATATACACCACAAAATATAAAAAACTATATTTTTATTACAATATAATAAAAACAGTCAAAAGATTTTACTTCTCAAAAAAATATTAAACGCTCACAATAAAAATGTAAATATATAATATTAATAAATAAAAAAGAAACTATCTATTGTCCTAACTAGGTCCAGCTTCCGTTTCCGTAGCATCATCAGGTGGAAAAGCTGTCAAGTCTGGTGTCGTTAATTTAGCAGTCTTAAAATAGTTTAATTTCAATAACTCTTTGGCGGTCTTTCTTTTCGCAGGATCGTACGTTAACATACTCTAAAAAAGGAGATAAAGTTACCCTTGATACATACAGGTGTAATAAGCGTGTAATCGGGAAACTATCTGCAGATAAAAATAAGTAAAAAAGGTCGCATAACTTCATATCAGAAAATGCTTCGTTTCGAAGATTCATTTTTATCTTGGTTTGTTTCAAATAATTTCTGAACTAACGTCGATATTTGGATGAAAATTGTGGTATGGATGATTTTTTTATATGAAAAATTCGATTTCGATGTCAGTATGTCTCTGAAAAATATATATTTTCGCCGAGTTGAATTGGTTTCAAAAGGGCTGCTGTGATAAAGCTGTTGGGCGGGTGAAGCGGGCAAGCGACAAAAAGAAACAATAATTTATTCCGGTAAAAGCGGGTAAAAGCAGTTTAAGCCGGTTGAAGCTGGCTCACTATGGTCACGCGCATACTATTGTTCCTATATGTTAAGGTACAAACATAGTGGAGGCAGGTTTCTGCTTATACCGGCAGGGTATTTACGAATCCCAACCTTATTCGGCGCGCCGTTCCACCGAATACAGCCGAACTCGGTATTTTACATTTCCCAACTCGATTCAGCGTGCGGTGCTGAACTAGGTGAGGATTTGAAATCTAAAATTTAGCTAGATTATAATGCCGCATGGCCCCACCTCGCTTGTTTATGGTAAACTAAGATGGTGGCGTGATTTGATTTTCATAGTGTGCATCAAGTCCTACATGGTTACAGATCTAGAGTGGGAAGATGTCGCAACTAAAGGAAATCTTTGGATTTGATAGTGCCAGTAGCAGAGGAAGCCATAGGAGAATTTCATAACAGTTGTACGAGCTAACTTCGACACACGCATGCAGCAATAATTTAACCAGTGACATTCATGAATGGATATCCAAATTCTCTGAGACCACGTGCACAAACTGGATTGTATGGAAAACATTTCCACATCCCACACGATACGTATAAAGGAAATTGTCATATGTGACGAAATTATTCTGGCCATTTTGATAAGCATGAAAATATCTAAAAATTATTGGCTGCTTTGGAGTTTAAATACTAAATAAAAAATCTGGATCTACGTTGTAGTTTAATGCGACGCTATTAGCCCATTACCCGACCCCAACCTACTTCAGCACCGCGCTCTGAATTGGGTTGGTAAAATACCGAGCTCGGCTGTATTCGGCCGAGCGGCGTGCTGAATAAGGCTGGGATTCGTAAGTGTGCGAACACAGTGCAAGCAGGTTTGCCGCTTACTGGTAGTCAGCGCCAATCTGGGCACCTATTCTTGACATCGTTCACAACTTTGCGTATACGCATCACGTGTATTGTTATAAACAGGGTATCCCAGAAATAAGTGCAAGTATTTTAAAGGGTGGTAGATCTCGATAAAAGAAACATATTTTCTCTTTATCGTTTTTAAATAAGTCCAAAATAACGGAGTTATTTTACTTTGAAAATTTCCAAAAAAAATGATTTTTTGCTCAAATTTTGAGAACCTTCTTCATGTGCCTTCTCCTCATCGGAGGTTGGCGACCATCAATTGGAATTCCTCCCTGTCTTGAGCCAAACGGATAATTGCACTTGCCTCTCCTATATTAAACCATGGCACTGGCGCAAATTCCGCATGCAGGAAAACCGTTTACGCCCGATGCCTCGTCGTCCTTCAATCTTTCCCTCAACGATCAGCTGTAGGAAACTATATTTGTTATTTCGAAAAATATGACCAAAATATGCTGCTTTTCGTCGTTTTATTGTAGTCAATAGTTCTTGGTCCTTACATATTCTTTCCAATACTTCGAGATTTGTTTGAGAACCACTGGATCTTTTCTGGATTTTCTTTCTTATAAATTTAATCTACTACCTATGTTGCCATATTATCAAGAAATTATTTTTTTAAATAAAAACTAAAAAAAATTGCAAAAAAATTCCAAAAATATTTTCAAAAAATTCCGAATTTTCAAAAAAAAATATTTAGAAAAAAACCTCATAGGCGTGTTTCTGGGGTTGAACTATACTACCAGTTAAGTTAAAATACTTGCACGTATTTCTGGGACACCCTGTATATGGTTACATAGTAGCGCCGCGCCGCGCCGCCTCGCGCTTATAACCTTGAAAAATTAAAGCGTGTTATCAAATCGGCTAGTTCACAGTGAAAGCAGGTAGGAGCCGTCAACCAGCGTTCATCGGCGTTCTCGCTTTTACCGGAACGAAAATTTATTTATTTCTGCTTTTGCAGGCGCCGACGGCGCACAGAGGGTATTAAGAACTAAAAGTTGGCCAAAATTTGTTTTATGATTTTTTTGCTTTTGTGCTAGTAATATTAATTATTAGAGGACAGGGTGCTAATATGGAACCTCATTTTGTTTTTCCTACACAATATTTTTTCCTCTACTCTGAAACCCTTTCCACCGATCAAATAAAGCCATTCTGTGCAAAACCAAGCAATTGGATGAGGATGCTAGAACAAGAAAGTAATTTGTATATTGTCGACGATATTTGAGCGAGGATGGGTGTTATAGGGTAAAGACTATTTTCTTTAAGAATCTATTTAAATCAATGTTTTTTGGCAGTGGCAAATATTGGCAAGATTTTTGTACATATTCCAAAGTTGGAGACTTTAAGCATTGAACGGATACTAATTTCAATGCGGAATATTGCCGAATAGTCTTACACCTTATAAAAATGCCTCTGATTTTTTTAAATATGAAACATTATAAAGAAATAGAATAGAAGGAAACGTTTCAAAAAAAATATGGCATAAAACAGGACTTGCCAGCTGGCTCTGTATCCATCATGACAGTTATTATAAACAATTTGCAAAAAAAGCACTACAAACAATTCCACTATTTTATAATCTTAGAAATATTCAGAATACACTCAAGATAATTCATACTTATAATTGAAATATATTATTTATTTGATAGTCAACTTACGACTTAAAAAAAGCTAATAAACGTGCTTACATTTAGTATTTATAGATTTGTATTCAGTTAAGATAAAAAATGAAAATAAAAAAATATCACTTTTGGCCAGGTTTATAGACCAAATACATCTATGTGCGGCCCCGGCGAGGCGGGCGCGGCGTTTGAATATGGTTTGGTTAGGTTAGTTAATCAGGTAAAAAAAAATATCGATAGGTTAGGTTAGTTAATCAGGTAAATTTTCTCTTAATTATCTACTTCCGAATCCTTCTCGCATCTCCGAAATAGCCATATACAATACACGTGATGCATATACGCAAAGTTACGCATCTGTGTATTGTTATATGGCTTTTAGGAGATGCGAGATGCGAGCGATATTTGAAGATGCGAGTGGTCAAGAATAGGTCCCCAGAGAGGGCGCTGGTTGCCGGAAAGCAGAAACCTGCCTCCACTATGTTCGTACCCTAAATACGGATACCGGCAACCAGCGCCGTCTCAGGGTACCTATTCTTGACCACTCGCATCTTCAAATATCACTCGCGTCCGGGGTTCGGAAAACTACATAAACTACATTACATGTAGTTAATGTAGTTTATGTAGAGGGTGTAGTTTATGTAACCTATGTATGTAACTTTTAAATATCAAAGGTTTGAGGTGAGATTATAATAAGTTGAAGCTTTAGAAAACACATAATGTGTTTTAGTTTTTTGAGTTTTCGTATTTTATAATAATTTGAATATATAGTGTTATCCATTATATTCTGTTTTTTAATTATAATTCTTTAATTAAATAAAAAGCCTATGCATTATGTTTCTATCAAAATTAACATTTTTGTTTATAGGATGTTTTTTTATCATAATATCAATACATAGTTCCTTAACGTAGTTTCCATGTAGTTAATGAACGGGAAAAGACGTAATTTTTGAAAAAAAAACAACACGTAGTTAACCAGGTAAATTACCACTTAATTAACTACTTCCGAACCCTGCAGTCGCATCTCCGAAAAAGCCATATAACAATACACTTGAAGCGTATACGCAAAGTTGCGAACGGTCGATGTCAAGAATAGGTACCCAGATCGGCGCCGACTACCGGTAAGCGGAAAACCTGCTTGAAAATCATCGCTCTTCAAAACAGGTAAAAATATGTAGCTGGCCCTACAAGTAGGAGCAAGAGCCATACTGATAACCGAACAAAATTTCATCTCAAAAAACACCAAGATCCCAATTTTTATCCAAATATCGATGTTAGTTTAGAAATTTTTTGAAAAAAAAACTGAAATCAAAATGAATCTTCTATCCGAAACGAAGCATTAGGACATGCATTTATAATGTTGCGAGCCGGTGTGGACTCGACCTAACCTCACAATATGGCCCGCCCTCGGATGACCTTAACATCGCATAGACACCGCAATGATTCATTCGTTCGAGAAGAATCGAGACCCACTAGAATGGACGCGTACATACGAGAACATTCGAAAACCTTCTCTATGCGCCTAACGATCTTTGGACTATTCTAGATTTCTTTTACCTGTCGGTATAAAAGCCGGCGGCAGTGGCCTAGAGAGGGCAGTTAAAAATATACAGTTGACGCGCTAAAATTCAAAATAAATTCTTAGTTATAAATCGTTTGTAAATAGTTCTATAAGTCTTTTATCGTTATTGTTTTTGTTAATTAGTGTTAAATAAATAGTGTTTAAATAAATTGTGACTTTCTATCCACACGGAACCGACGAAAAAACGTAACAATTGGTGTCAAGTGTGGCGTGTGTGATAGACTAGAAGAATAAAAAGACTGACCATGGCTCTGAAAAAATTGTTGAAAGACTTGAAAGTGTCCGAACTGAAATGCATATTGGAAGAGAGAGAGTGCGAGACAGATGGAAAGAAAAGCATTTTGCAAGCTAGACTGAGAGACGTTTTGGTGGAAGAAGGTGAGGATCCTGACACATTTTACTTCGAGCTGGAAGGTGACCTTGACTCGTCATTGAAAAATTTACAAGACAATTTGAATAGTAAAATAATTGACTTGGAAGTTAATTTAGAAGATGAAATCACAGAGAATTCTCAAAAATTAGAAGACAGTTTGAAAGATA